AGTTGGTTACTTCTTTCCCTAGGCCATTATACCTACATCTATATCTTCAGTTCTTATTGTAACACATTGTAATTATTTGACTGTGTAGCCTCCTCCTTCACTTATTGATCAACAAATACTATTTGAGCAGCTGTTATGTCCAAAGGACATCTCTAGACCTTTTCTGATAATCACTAAGCTCCTGGAGAGTAAAGTTATTAAATCATATACATAGTGCCAATGCTGACATTACATTAATCTCATAAAGAATCTACAGCAATCTGCCCAACCCAATGGGTGAGATAAAGTTGAATGGTAGAAAGAGATTACACCACCTAATTAGAAAAAGCATTATATTGAAAAAAAAAGTGGGTTCTATCCTTCACTATGTTTCATTTGATTATTGGTAAGTCATAACTCATTAACTTGTTCTATAAAACAGATCTTATCTGCTCCACAAGATTTCAGTAAATATAAAGTGAAATATTCAAAAATACTTTGAAAAATGCTACTTTCTCTGTAATTAAAAATTTAATGAGGCCGGAATTTATTTTAACTGATGTTTTAGAAGCTGAAATTGCAAGGCAGTTACTAGAGCAATGGTTCATAACTTTTTATAGCTATGTATTTCTAACTACTCAAATATCTATATGCCTTTATTATTAATTATATTTTTCATTTACAATGACTTTTAAGGATATAAAATTCCAGTGAAATATTTGGAAGAAGATTTTATTATGAATACTTCCTTAAAGAAAACAACTTTGTTGCCTATCTAAACTTCTTCTCTTCACTGATGATATATGTATCAGCGGTTGAAAACAGTGCTTTAGAGAAATTTTAAAATTCCAGCAGTTGGAAGAAATATTAAAAAGCTGTATGATCTCACAGACTATAGGCAAATTATGTACTAATGTGTCTCAGAAAGGCAAAGATGAAGAGTACTATTTTTTCAATTACACATACAGATTATATATATTAAACAAACACTTATTGGGAAATGTGGGAAGAGTTCTTCCTATAACCTGTTTTGTCAGCTCATTGAAGCTCTATCTCTTTTACTCTATGTACGTTGACTTCATCTTTCATGAAAGGTTCATTCAAGAATGACATGACAATATCATTACTCAGGATTCTGGTACAGTTTTAGTGACATCAGTCACCAAAAATGACTGGACACAGGATCAGCTACAAATCAAGCCTTGAATACCATCCCTAGGAGTTGAGACTACATGATTCACTTGCTAGATTCTTAAATTGCCTCTGGCAAGATTAGAAATATCATATTCAATCCACATATCTTGAATACTTTTAATTTTACCAATATATTTCAGCATATTAATTAGCAAATCAGTAATTTTTCAAGTGAAAATCCTTTTCTGACATTCAGCAAAGCCTCAGTGTAGAACTGGGATGTGGCTAATAACCACAGGGTTTATAGTAGCTTTTCTAGAGTGTAGCTTTTCTAGAGTGTAGCCTCTCTGCTTTAATGCTAACTAACCACTCCTGGAGTTTAGACTCCTGATCAGAATACTAGCTGCCCATGCTTATAACTTAACCTAACATACATTTAGTACCACAGTGTCTGTGCTGAGGTATTTTAACGTAAATTAAAACATTACTGCATTTCACTTTAAATATTTCAGAATGTATCCTTAAATCTAGGTCAATTCAGGAAGCAAAGAAAAATGAGGTCAGTACTTCAAAGACTGTGAACTCTGAGAATAGTTATCACATCTCACCAAAGTATGGCCACATAACAGTAGTTATTCAATGCATCTTTAAGGAAGAAACTGAGAAACCACCAATACCTGCTTAGCATTCTCTCTCCAATATTTGGTGCCCATGTAAATTGCTGCCCTTTCATAACTATTTGATAAGAACATATGAAAGATAATTCTATTTAAGATCTATAATTCAAAACCATAGTCGTAGAAAAAGAAAATAGTAGCTGAAAATGCATATGAAGGATAACATTGTTCAAGGACACAACAAAAGTTTATTGCTATCTACTGATTACCTAGCTCTCTGAAGGTAGAATGATAAAAAGACACTAATTCTGTCCACAAAAGGTTCATAATCTACTAGGGGCAATGAGAACAAAACAAGTAAATAATAAACTATTATACTGGATACTACTGCTACTGAAAACACGATTTTATCATTAAAACAAGAATTTAGTTCTAAAGCAGCAACAGAAAACAAAGATAGCAAATGTTTGGGTTAAGAATCAAGAATGAAGTGTACTGTTAGAAGTTTATTTATTGAATAATCATTCCTTGAGTGCCTACTTTTGTATTTATTTGATTCTAAGCTGTTAAACAATTCACTTTCTAAAAATCAGCCTGTTGGGGCGATCTTTATTTATAATTTACATATCAGTCGTAAAAAGAATTTTCAGAATTGTAAAACTATGAACAAACATGTCCATATATATTATAATATGTCCTGAGCACTTTGCTAGGTACAGTGGGTACAAGGGTGTGGCAAATAGTCATGACTTAGTTATTAAGATTAATCTAGTGGAGGTATACAGATATTATTTGGTAAATGCATAAAAATATAATTACAAAGTTGTGTTGCAAGAAATTATGCATAAATTCAGTTAAGTGTACATGTAGCAAAAAAATTTGATTAAAAAAAGTTAAAACACAGAGGTTTTTTTAAAATCTGCTTCATTCTTTATTTTTTGACTGGTGAGTGCTAAAAGATCCATGAACTCTGGTAACTTTCCTTTCCTTTTCTTTCTCCCCACTTCTCTGGTCAACTTTTGGAGTTCTGCTATAAATTGCAGTCCTGCTTCTCTGGGTTCTTCCTGATGATTTCTTCACCATATTAGTACCCTGTCTAAATTTTCAATCAGAACTAGTTTTATGAATCCAAATGTATATATCTTTATCCCATGTCGAACTTCTCATAAAGCGTCAAATTTATTCAAAACTTCTAGCTGAAATCTTGAATAGTACAGTTGTCAAATTGTCTCTTCTTGCCGAACAAGACTGGCCAGGTGATATCAATTATTTTGCAACATGTTCCATTATTCAATACATGTTATCACTTAACCTTGTCTTCAGTATTATTCTGGGACTTTGGGAGGTAAAATTATTGCATGTTTTCCATTAATATTTTAAGAGAAGTTCAAATCTAGTTAAGGGGATGAGAAAGAGGGTATTCTTCTATGAGTATAATGTCAGCTAGTAAATAACATATATTTGGAACAGATCCACTATCCTGGGTTATGTAGAGGGCTGAGAGTTGGAGAAAACAAAAAGACATAAAAAAATAAAAACAAAAACAAACAGTTTTCCTAACCAAGTAGTGAGATCTCTCCTTCTACAGCTTGGTAATCATTATATTTTATTGAACTCTAGTCTCTCTCTCCCTACATATATTAGAAACAATAGCAATAGACACTGCATTTTGCTTTGGTCCAACCAATTGTAAAACACTGATATGGATCACTAATCTTTCTTTAGCTAGCCATCTTTAAGAGCTTTAGATTATTACTATACATTGAAGGAACATTTCATTTTACACAAGCAGAATACTTCATTCTATTTTTGCCATTTCCTAAAATCAAAGCAACCAAGAAAAAATTGTTCCCACAAACTCATTACTTATTGCTAACTTGACATATTCAGCTTGATCATCTGGTATAACGTATATATTCTCAAAACTAAATAGATTATCTTGACACTTGCTCTTGGCACAATGAAAGAAAAGCTTATATCTTCAAATATAAGGTCTACATATTACCACATTATAAGGTTAGGATGCCAGAGGAGCTAGGAAAATCTTTTTTAAAAAATCAAAGACATTTTGTTATCTGGTTGTTAAATTATGAATTTAAGGAAATCTGAATATAGGAGGCCCAAGTATAAAGGATATCTGAAATGTAGTTCCTAAACATGTCCTTTCTCCAATATCTTATATCTGTACAAAATATGTGGCATTATACACATACTTAGTTTTCAATGATCACAATCTCAGACATATTATGTCCTAGCTATAATATTTTATAGGAATTTTTCTTATCGCTAAAGACCAAAAAGAAAAAAAAAGTCAGAGTACTAAAAAATTGTTATTTTCAACATTGTATTATTAAACCATTCTAAATGAAAGTATAACATTGTACTATTTTGATCTAATTTCAACAATTTAAACTTCTAATAATAAATAAAGATAAAAATTTTTCAAAGGGTATGAAACCGTATCTAAGCAGTTTATATGAAAAACAGACAATGCAGAGGTTTTAAAAACCTCTGATAAAAAAACATACTGCTTCAAATATTTGCTGCATAAAAATCTATGCATAAATGCAACAAAAAAATTCTAAAATTAAACAAAAGTATCATTTAATGGCCACATATAGTCTGGAGACAAAGCCTTAGAGCAACTCCAAACTGCTGGCACACCAAAACTACAAAGAGCAGCAATAGGGCCAATCTCATTTTTAGTCCTTAACTGTAATATCACCTTCAACAAGTAATACCTGAATATTTTCATCGTAAATGTTACAAGTTCCAAAACCAATATTAAACTCAGTGATTTGTTTTTATCACACTTTCAAATGTCAAGCTAGTGCCAGCCAGAGGCCCAATGAGTCTCCTTTACCTCACTGCTCTAAATCTGAAATCTTATATTTTCATTACTATGTTTCTTTAGATTATAATAAATTGAAAAGACCCAGAAGAAAGACCAAAACATGTGTATGTTTTACGAAAGCAAAATTGCGTACGTTAAAATTGACTTGGCTCATTATTTCCTTCTTTTAGAGAATACTTGATAAATAGAACTTCAAAAAGATACTCTTGGCAGAGATGGTATAATGAGAACATAAATATCAGATGAGTGGCTGATTAAATGACTTTTAAAATCCTGTTCGGCTCTGAAAATCTGGGATTTAGGTCATGAATCAATTTAAGGCACATTCTCTGCTGAGTAAGTTCCTCATATTTCTTACAACAATAGCAATATTTGTAAAAAGAAAGGCCCCAGCCAGCAGGGGAAATGGTACTTACGAGTATTGTGTCAGCAGTTCCAAATCATTATGCATGTTGATTGGATATGATTCACTGAGCTCAAACAACTTCTCCAGGGCTTCATAAATGAAAATGATGCAAATTAGAGAAGCAAAAGCTTCTTCAGTAAACCGGGTGATATAGCAGACAAGAGAACTTGCATCAGTGGCCACAAGTATGATACATAGGGTGGCAGTCCAAAGTCCAATACTAGCTCTTAAAGATAGGTATGACAGCCCATATTCTCTAGGAGGAGGAAAAGGAAAGAACAGTGGTAAGAAGGTCATTTAACAGCTTGAAACTATTTAAATAAATGAAAATCAGTGTAATTCAGGAAGTAAGTAAATAAACTTCACATCCCATGAGTATCTAAACTCAAGACTTTGTCTAAAGGGAACATCTAAGGGGACAAAACTAAAAGGGGTTTCTCAGTGCCTAGAACTGAATCTTACTTTTTATAAAGATTAAATAACAATATATACAAATCTTTTACTTTTCCTCTATTTCCATGGAGAGACAAAAAATGACAAGCTGAATCAAATCAGCCACTTCCACCTCTCCCAACAGTCCTCCAAAAGTGATGCTGGGAGAAGTATAAATACAGTAAAGAAAAAGAAAGGGGCTAAAGGCCAAGAGTACATGACACTTACTTGCAAAATTTAAACAAAATCTTTTCAAACACCAAAACTGGTCCTGTACTGCCTAATATGGTAAGAGGCTGTCCACCAAAGAGAGAATAGGCTATCCCAGTCATGGATGCTCCAAAGAGAGATTCGATTGCACTCTGTGTAGAGATATAAATGGTTCCATTACTTGAGCTGTATACGCAGCCATAGTAACTAGGGAGAAAATGTTTAAAATACATGGGTATGTACTTTCTCCTTCATTATGAAAAGCCTAGCAATCCTGGGCAGGACTTGAGATACGAATATGAGAAAATGGGCCAACAGTAAGCAGAAAATGAATGGTAGTAAATGGGGGGGGGTGTCCTTTCCACCTTCCTATCTCATATTTCTGTTGCCTTACCACAAGTTTAAATATATTCAGGATTAATGTCTGGACAGAAAAATGGCCCGGGTATATGGGAAATGGTCATCTTGAAAGGTAAAAACTGAGCCTAAAGTTAGTCTAGGATTGGGGGCCAAAGGGAACAGCATCAGATCAGAACCTTCTATAAGACTCAGAACTACTTGTTCTGAGATATTCCACACCCAGATTACCAGTTCCACTTGCCATTCAGAAAATTCATATGAAGGTTATCTGCCAGACCATCCATTAAATCTCTCCTCATAAAGGAATCCAAAATTAAATGCTCACTTATCTAACTATGCCTAAAAATGGTTTCAGTTTCAAAGTTCAGAGAAAAGCGTAATACATACTATACGCCCTTCAGTTGCTTCTCCCAGCAGTCCTCCAAATGTGATGACAGGAGACATACACGCGCAGTAGAGAAATAGAAAAGATGCTAAGCACTGCAGGCTGAAAGCATCTGTGAAGTCACTCCAGAAGTATGGAGCTTTTCTTTTGATATCTAAAATAAGTCCCCCAAAAATCCTAAAATAGGGGGAAAACACAATAGTGAAATACGAATATAAAAAAAGCACACCAATCAAAATGCTCATTTGCTTTGTTGCCAGGTCACAGTATACGTTTTCCATCAGCAGAGGTGAGACCCACATTAACCTGCTACGTGGTATTACCATGATCTACAGGGATGGCTTTGCATCACTAGGTTACCTCAATTCCTAACCAAATATCATTGTCAACAACCAAAAATTTCAGGTTCTCTAAAACAAGGTTCAGAGCTGTTGACAAATCAAAATTCAAATAAGGAGATTCAAAGATCACTCTAATCTGTGATATTTCTACATCAACCTACTCCTCCTAAATTCAGGGCTACCATCCTTCACCATTGGCAGTATTTTCTAACTGTTTGCATTCCATTTAACATAGCAGAAAGTGAGGGAGGGAGGGTTAACTGGCTTTTGTATACTCCAATAGTGAACATCACCCTAGAGAGAAAAAGCAGTGTTTAACCATGGCTCCAGTTACCTACTCTCTCTGCTAAAAAATAAAAAATAAATTTACAAAAATCCCTCACCAGATATTGTTCCAGGGAGACATTTAAATGGTCTTGTGGATAACAGCAATACTTAATAGAGATAGATAAATTCTATAGTTGTTTGCATTTTTAGGAAACTAGAGGAGGGGACCTCATAATAACCAAAGTAGATAAATGTAATTTTTATCCACTATTGCCTTAGCATATCCCAACATCTAGGATTCACAAGACAATAATGACTTTACTTGGTATAAATTCATTTATTCTAAATATATCTAAAATTATGTTGAAACATTTAAAAGAGGATATTTAATTTAAAAAGTATTAAACTATAAAATGTTGCTTAAAAGTTGGGGATTAATTTTTTTAATCTATTAGAAATGAGAGCTTTAATAAACAGGTATTCTCATTCTTTGGACATTTAATAATGATATGCAGACTTAACATTTGAAGTTCTTTGTGCTCCATGGAATAAAGATGTGATATTAAAATGAATAAGACTATGATTAAGTTCCTACATGAAAGTTAATGGTGAAAAAACCTATTATGTTTCAATTTCCTGACAGAATGCTGAATATACTTGGATCACACAAAAATGTTAAACTTTTGTTATTCATTTTATGAATAAGAATATTCATTTGGTAATCCTAGAGGTACCTCAAAAATAATTATTCTCTTCAGAAATAAATTCTGGTTGGCCTTGAAAAATGTATGCATTCAGAATAACTGAAAATTTTCACCATTATTTTTAATTTCCCTGATATGATATAGACCTAATAATTATAATATATAGCAACTATCTTACTATTATGTGGGTATAGTGGGTATATCACTATGCTTTCCTAGTGACTGCTTCCATTAGGGAGATATGGAGTAGGAGAGGGTTGAGAAGAATGAAATTTCAATTAAAAAAAAGGACATTTGAAACTCAGAAAAGCTTGCAGAGAACCTGTGAAATTTACACACACACACAAAGATCACCTTAGGTTTCTCTACCTGTGTTTGGTAAGACATATGCATATTTTTAATTTGGGGGATCATTTCTGAATAATTTGCTAACTTATCAGAGCCATAATTCAAAGCAGATTTACTCTACCAGTCTATTTATACATTCATTTATAATTTACATCCCACCTAATCCCCAAAAGATTTGAGGTGGTTATGAACTATTAATTAGTAATTAATATTTATAGTTTTGATAGAACTTTATATTAGACCATTGCTTTCTAATTAATTACTTATTAGCGCATACATTAGTCTGAATAGCTGTTATATTACTGCGTAATAAATGTGCTTTTAGCAGTAAAAATCTAAATCCGGAAGTGGGAGTTCATTACAGAGAACAGTGCAAGAGCAGCCCAGATGTACACCAGCAACTCCAGGAGAGCAGATGAGTAATGGATACTTCAAGTCATGTCAGCAACAGAATCTGTGGAAGAACTCTGGAGAAGCGAAGATACCGGATATTGGTGACCTGGGAGGATTTAGGAAGCAGTAAGGAAAAGTGAACTTCGAAAAAAATCTAAGCTATGTGGCATGTTACACCTGAGAAAGAGAAAAAAAAATACCACCAAAAATAAAAAGACAGCATTTGAAAGTATGAAAGCAAACAGAATGAGTAACAAAGCTTCCAGTGACGGGAAAAGGAAAAAATTGTTTGAACCATTTCAAATTACATATCGAGCCTGAGGAAGACGTTAAAGGACATTTCCTCAGAGACAAAACATACATAAAGGGAAAGAACACAGAATTAAAATGCAGAGTTGTCAGGAACTGGAAAATCAGCTTAGAGGACACATTGCAAGCAGTACAGGAACCGGCCTTGGGGGCAGGGAGCACCAATCCTGCAAAGCCTTTGCAATTGCCTTTAATTATAATAGAGGCTGTGTTCACATATTCCCTGAAGAGAGACCCACCCAAGGGTTTCTGATTTTCTGCTCACACATTGCTTGGAGAGAGACAAGCTGTCAAAAAGCCATAAAGAACCATTTTAAGAAATAAATTGAAGCTTTCATCTCTTCAAAGATGTGTGATTAGAAAAATAAATCATATAGCTCTTTCAAATCACAGCCGTAAAAATAAGAAGTACCATTATATACATCCTACTTGCATTTAATGAGATAGGGTCTACAAGACTGAGTTCTTGGTATTCAGTTTTATTTCTATCTTGAACTTGACGCTTTCAACGGGCTCTTTTGGAAGAATCAATTGACAGTTTTCTTATTCTAAGAATCTGGGAATGCATTTTATGCACAGCAAAATGAAAAGACTTATAGTAAGATAAAATGGAATGGTGTATCCACTGCTTTAGTTTAACAGTAATGATAATCATTAGTAACTTTAGAGAAATCGAATTAATTGGCATTCTCACCCACAAAAAGTAGGTATTAAAAGTATAAAACAAATTAGATCTCAAACTAGCAATTCCCGACAGACAAGAATGATATGTCACTTGGTCCTTGAAGTCCCACGCGAGTGATTTTCACTAACCTTCCGGTTCGCTGGAGTTCAGGTCCACTGTGTCCTCCGTGGGGCTCAGCTTCCCCATGGGCTGCTGTTCCATTTGGCACAGCAGGAATCTTCCTCTTCTCCTGCAGGAAGTTTCTTTGTTTGTTTTGTTTTGTTTTGTTTTAATTTCAGGTGTTAATTCTACTAACAGTAACAATTTTTTTTTCCATGAAGCAATATGCAGAGTGACTAAAAACCCAGGATCTGTTACTTATTTGCTGCTTGAACTCTGGGAAGTTATGTAGCCTCCTAGAGCTTCAGTTCCCTCCTTCATTTACTGGGGGGTGACAACAGTTACCTATCTTATATCATACCTGAGAGAATTAAATGAGGTTACAGGTGTTTATTCTTTTAACTAATATTAATTGAGTGCCTAGTATGTGTCATTCATTGTCATGAATGCTAGAGTTGCAAAGGTGAGCATTCTGTTAGTGGAAAGAGAATAAATTTACAATATTAGGTAGAGATAGGAGGTATGAAAAAAGGGAAGGGGCAGAGAGAGGCCAAGTGGGGTGAGGAGGTGTTAGCCACGGTGTGTGTTATATGCCTGGCATAGTTTAACCTTTCAATAAACATTAACTATTATCACTATTTTAAAAGCATATTTCCTAGGCTGGGTGCAGTGGCTCATGCTTGTAATCCTAGCACTTTGGGAGGTTGAGGTGGGAGGATTGCTTGAGGTCAGAAGTTCAAGACCAGCCTGAGCAAGAGAAGACCCCATCTCTACAAAAAAAAATGAGAAAATTAGCCACACATAATGGCATGCACTTATAGTCCCAGCTACTCGGGAGACTGAGGCAGGAGGATTGCTAGAGCCCAGGAGTTTGCAGTTGCAGTGAGCTATGATGACATCACTGTACTCTAGCCTGAGCAACAGAGATCCTGTCTCAGAAAAATAACATAAAATAAAATAAAAGCATATTTTCCTCTGTTATTGCAGCTGTTATCTTTCTTCCCAGGAAATAATTTGTATTATGGGCCTTTCTGACTCATAGAGGCTCAAAGACCATTGCAAAAACAAGGTTTCTAATTGACAAAGGCTTCTAATTGACTATTGCAAAAACAAGGCTTCTAATCAATGACAAATTAACAGGATTTAGGTAGTGCTGTTTTCCCATAGGTCTATTATACCCATTTTTGTCAATGACAAAGATTTTTTTTTTAAATCAGAAAGTCCTACCAAAACATCCTAGCTATGGTCATCTCAGAGCACACCAATGTGTTCAAAAGCACTTCAAAGGATAGTAAAAAAAAAAAGAAATTAATTGGTACAATTAACATTTTTACTTGACTACCATTCCAAAATTGAATTAGTATAAATGTGAAGAACAAAAGTGACTCATCAACTGATAGTGCATATAATGGGACATTTAGATAGAATGATACAGGTTTAAAACATGACAAAAATAGGTTTTGAAATGCACACAATACCGGAAAGTTTATTGCTTAATATTTGTACAATGTTCCCAGGTATATGCCTGGCTACAATGAGACTGAAGTTCAAAGATAAAAGAGAAGACATCTGTCAACTGACGAAGGAAACTGTCTTTACAGGTAAATAGAATACATTAGTAAAGAAATTTAAGATTGCCTTCAATACCTACTTCCCAGTTACCTAGGGAAACATTTCATAGCTTCCACAAGTTTCAGAAGGCAAGTAATATTATATAGTTTTCTGGGGGAACTATCCCCTACGAGATAAGTTAGCTCTTGTTTTACAATGGCAAAACCGAGAAAGTGAGGTGTCTTGGAAGCCAAATAAAGTGTACCAGGGAAAAGGGAGCCATCAACTCTGTTAAATGCTGCTGATTGATAGGTTAAGTAAAGTGCAGACTGAGAACTGACCACGGGATTTAGCGCTGTGGAGATTATTGGTGATCTTCATCTATTTTTCAATGAAGTGCTAGGGGAAAAAGCCTATTGAAGTAGGTGTTAAGAGAGAATCAGAGGAGAGTAATTGGAAGCAGGTAGCACGGAGAACTCTTCTGTGGCATTTTGTTGCAAAGGGAAATGAAGAAGAATAGCTGGCTGGATAGTGGTATCAAGAGAATACTTTTTTTCCAAGATTGGTAAATTAACAATATGTTGTGTGCTAATAAAAAATGATACAGTACAGAACAAAAAATTGATAAGAGGAGAAAGAGGAGAGTTGGTAATGTTCTTGAGTAGATGTGAGGAGATGGGATCTAGTACACAAGTTGAAGGCTGGCTTTGGATAGTTCATCAACAGTACATGGGAAGGCAGAGTATATTAATGCAGATGCTGGAAGGTTGATATTTAGGATAGTGGGAGTCTATGGAAGTTCTTTTTGATTGTTTCCAATTTCTTGGGGAAATAAGAGGCAAGTTATCTATAAAAGTGAGGGTCAAAAAGTATGTGCTGAAGGTTTGAGGTTTGAGGAGAGAAGAACAGGTAAGGAATAGCCATCAAGAAAGGATGATTAGACTAGGGAAGTATGGTATGACGTACTTGCAACATTAAGGTGCCACTTGAGGTACGTGGTCATGAATTTACATGAGAACAGCCTTGGTAGTTATATGTTCTCCTTCAGCTCAGGCTGTATCAATGCAGGTACAAGGTAAAGAGTTGGATTCTCACAGGGTTGTGGTTTTGCAAAGCAAGTACATGGCATGAAAGGAAAGCAAAGTTTAGAGTACATGCAAGGGAGTGATTGTAATGACTGACACAATGTTCTAATGAATATTTTCAGGGTTATCCTTTGAAATGACAAGTTATTCTTGTCTTAACTGAAAGGAAAAGGTTTTAGAAATGTTGTGCTTTGCACATTTCAAAAAAAATAAAAACCATAGGAATTATCCCATGTGGGAAAATATTATTTAAATGAGTATGAGGTCAGGGTGCTTAATATATATTAATTCATTTTACTCCATCTAATAAAAAAGGGCCTGACGCTATCTATTATTTAATTACAATGTACATTGTAAAAGTATTAATGTTGAAAAGTAGCATACAGTGTATCTCTAATGCAAATACATTGTATAGAATTGTGCTGTCTGATATACCCCGATACTAACCCCATATGTCTATTTAAATTTAAGTTAATTAAAATGTAAAAATTCAGTCCTTCAGTTGCAGTAGTAACATTTCTAGTGCTCAATAGTTGCTTGATTATTGGATAGCATGGATACAGAACATTTTCATTACTGCAGAAAGTTCTATTGGATAGCATTGATACAGAACATCAGTTGGGAGGTTAAAGCATTTGTTCAAGGTCATGCAAATGGATAATGGCTGAACCCAGATGCCTTGATTCTCAATTTAATGTTCTTTCTCTACTGCCTCTCAATACCCAGAATCCAATATTTAATTCTGCTTTTAAAGGATCTCCTAAAAATAATAAAAAATACAGATCTCCGAGACCTCTACTTGCTTCAAAAACATTATTCTTCAAAAACAAAGTGTTTTTAAAGGTGCTTAACTTTACCTTCAATGTGTGAAGAACAAATTGGTATTACAGTGACATTTAAAGTCTTACTCTCAGGGTATTGATATTTTTGCTGAATTTCTTCAAATAACATCAATTAAAGAGTTTCTATCTTATTACTTCAGGAAGCATTACATTGCCTTTTCTAATATCATTAATGCGAAGTTGTATACAAGAACAGAAATGAGACACTCTACAACCCCTACAATTATGTTTTAAGCAACTGCTTTTATTTTAATAATAGATCAACTTAAATATGTGGCTGTAATTATAGAATCACAAAATGGTTATTGTTGATAAGGGGTAAGCAAACAATCTTTAATAAAAATTATGAAATGACTTTAGAATGAAAATGTAGAAATGAGATGTCAGGTTATTTTCTTTAAAATGACAGTGGACTTTAGAGACCTTTTAAGCACTAATGGCTGAGAGGTATACTTGCTCATTTGTCCACCTCTGGCTAACCAGAAAAACTTCTAAGACCAGGGCTGGGTCAGTTAGGCCATCTGTCACTTTGAATGGGCAGCGGAGGCAGACCAAGCTGGACTTCACAGGGCAAGGGCCAAAGGCAAGGCTGAGTACACAACTGGGAGGGTTGTGGGAGGCAGATTCAGTAGGAATCGAGGTGGCACTATTAGGAGTGGGCTTAACAAACATTTGGCCACCACTCTCAACAGTAATGCCTGCAATAAAATAATGACCCTAAACAATAGCAATGCTCTTTATTTATATGTTTCTGGATTGCATGATGGCTAAAATACACACTAGATTTCATAAGCAAAATATTTGTAATTTTTATACTATACACCCACAAAAAAGTAATAAAAATATAAGAATTATAATTTTAAAATCTTCCCAATTTTTACTATGATCAGCAGTAACAGGAAGTTTTCTACATAATGTGATTAAGCCATGCCTTGAATTCTCCTAATACTTGCCAATTTCAAAGTGATGCATCAGATCATACAAAGACAGTAGTGGACTTTTTCTCAGGCCATATTTTACATTGTTAATTAAAATTTAAATTTTCCTCCAGTGTGATAACTTTTAGATTGGTTCTAAAATCTTTCCAGGCATATGGGACTGTTTTATTTTGTAGCTTATAATCAAAACGCCAAGTTTCTCAGGGGGGTGTGGTGCATGCATTATGGAAGCATTAAGGAAGATTTTGTACCTTCATGCCCTGCTTTATTAGAGATTATAACCTAAGCATTGGAGTATTTTTGATGGTCATGCTATTTTAAGACATGCATTTAACAGAAAACACAATAATGAGATTGTGAAGAATGTTTTCAAATATACATACCTGGGAAGGAACATTTTTGGGAGGCTCTATTCGAATGCTTGGATCCCATTCTCCAGGAGGGAGAACAGTAACCTGATCCAGAAATTCATCAATCCCTGATACCAAGTCATTACGATCTTTAGCTTTGTAAGCAACGTCATGAAATACCTTTAGAAGAAACAGAAATATCATTTGCAGTGAAAAAATTATAAAACTGTAATGTGTTTAGTGTTTTTTATCCCAGATAGCTCACATGTGATTATAACAATTTGAAGAAATAGGCAGTTCTGACACTATAGAAGGTTGTAATGTAAAATAGTATAATTTAGTTTGCTTCATTAATCTACACAGATATCTATTCTTAGGATGCAAGATGAATTTTGAAATTTCTAAAAGCAAGTAGGAAGAGAAAGGAAAAGGAGGATGAAAGGGAGCTCATTAAGCTAGAATTAATGATTTAAGCTAGGCAAAGCTTATTTATGCCTGGGAAAATCAAACTTTCTTAAGGAAGCCCTTGCTTAAAAATAGAGATCAAAATTTGTAGACTGTTTTAGAAATTTCAGCAATATCTACATCCTGGCACATATAAACTAATTTAAAAGGTTAACTTAGTTTCAGTTTTGAAAATAATAAGGTTATAAGTTAGTATTTTCTGGAAATATAGTCATCCCTCTGCATCCACAGGAGATTGGTTCCAAGACTCCCTGCAGATACTAAAATCTATGAAGACTCAAGCCCTTTACATATAATGGTGTAATATTTCCATATAACCTATACACACCCTCCTGTAAACAGAGGGGTCCTGACTTCCTATGGTTCGTCTTACAATTTTCTGATTTTATGAAGGTGCAAAAGTGATATGCATTCAGTATGTTCCTCAATTTTCAAGGGAATTAAGTCTGTATAAAACTATCTTAAGTTGAAAATATTATAAGTCAAATTATGATGGTTTTATCAGGACATAAACCCATCAAAAGTCAAGAAGCATCCGTACTTAAATCATCTCTAGATTACTTATAATACCTAATACAATGTAAATGGTATGTAAATAGTTGTTATACTGCATAGTTATTCATATTATTTTAATTGCTGTATTGTTATTTTTTATTGGTTATTTTTCTTGGATATTTTTTATTTGTGGTTGGTTGAATCTGAGGATGTGAACCCATGGATATGGAGGGCCCACTGTATCTCACATCTGTACAGTACAGAAAGTGTATTTCCATTCAAACTATGTTACGTTTTACACCTATGCCCTCCCTCCCACTACACGCACATGCATTGTGATAGTCATCTAAGCTTTTCAACGATACTTCAGATTTTCTTCTAGACACATGGCAGGATTGCATTTCTTTGCCTTGTTTAATAAGGCAAAGTAGAACACACTTTGTGTTCTACTTAGGTGTGCATATGTCATTTCTGAATGGAAGTTGAGTGGCAATGTATGACTTATCATATTACCTTTTTTCTGCTTTAGTGACTGAGAAAACACAGGTCCAGAAAGAACTTCTATGAGTCTGGGTGCCTGAGTGATTATGATGAGCAGAGTGTCTCTGCCAGCTTGTGATAGACATTGTTCACGACAGAAATAAACCTTTATTGTTTTAAAACACTAAGATTTTTGTTGGTCATTTCTGCAGCATAATCTAATCTCTCCTGACTAACATACACAAGAATGATACACTTAACATGCTAAGTGAGGAAACTAAAAACAAGGATAAGGAGGAAAAATTAATTTATAATAAACATAAATATTTCTGATACTTTCTGTATTTCATATAAGATGAAACAGAACAGACAAATATTTGAGATTAGGGACTCCTATGTTATTCTTTATGCTGACCTATATTATAGCAATTGGATATCTCAAAATTTCCAGGAAAATTCTGCTTTCAAATATTCTATTCCATATTTAGGTCATTTGTTTCAGTTTCTGGTTTGATACTCAATCTAAACTGCTGCCAAAGTGATAACGAACATTTTAAAAGACTTTTTCTTGACGTTACAACTAAGAACACTTCATAAAATATCATTGATGTGATATATATAGATAGTCTTTGCTTAGGATAATATGAAAATATCAAAGATATATTAATGGCTTAGTTGTATTTTGAGAAGGAGATTTTTTTTTAAATTTTAAAAACACAGATTTCCCTGCCACAAGCCATTGATTTTATGGTTCAGAATATACTCTTTTAAAGATCTTTACCTGGCCCTGAGACCAAATCTGAACACTTAAGAATTCCAAATGTTCTTAATCCTTAGTGAGACTTTATTCTTTTCCTGTTAGAAGCATCTCTCTCTTTTTTTTATTTCGGCATATTATGGGGGTACAGATTTTAAGGTTTCAATAGATGCCCATTCCTCCCCTCCCCCCACAAGTCTGGGTCTCCAGCATGACCATCCCCCAGATGGTAGAAGCATCTCTCCTGAAATCATTCTTGATCTCATTTAATTTAAAAAAATGCTTTGAGAGATCACAGGAGCCTATACCCTACTTTAGATAGACAAATGTCCAAATTGAACCAGGAAAACTAATTTCCTACTATTTTAAAGCTCTGTAAAGATAATAGACAACACAATTTGTTTGATTTTAAATTATACACAGTGTTTATTCTTGTTTTCCTATTACAAATTTCACTAATAACTTAATTAATTTAAATTTTTTTCTACTTTCTCTTTGTCTAGCTAACCTGACATTCTGATTTCAACACATATCTGACTTCTCAGAAAAGCCTTCCCTGACCTCCTCTTAAACAAGGTGAGACACTTTGTTAATACTGTCCTAACACTTTCTCCTCCTTCTTGATAGCTTTCACTGTAATTGTAATTACTTATTATAATTAATTATATAATTAGATGTTTAATACCTATTTTCTCTGCTAAAACGTTCAATAAATGTTTATCAAACCATTTAAGTGCTAGGAATACAGAAGTGCACAAAACCCAGCAAAAACCCACACCCTTATAGAGCTTATCTTCTAAGGGTACAGGTAAGAGGGAAGATAAACAGTATAAATGAGTATATGTTTAGGCATATGATAGCAAGTCCTATGGATAAAAATGAAGAAAGAAAGGGGAATAAGGGCATGACTGGAGGATGTTACAATTTTAAATAGGGTGACTAGAAAGGCCTCAATGAGTAGGTATCTCAGTGAAGGCCTGAGGAGGTAAGGATGCATGCCATGGAACTAACAGGAAGAAGAGCTTTCTAGGCAGATGGAATCACCAGTGCAGAACATGCACATCATGCTTGAGAAGCAGCAAAGTGGCCAATCCTGGGGAGGACTGAGCAAGAGGAAGAGTAGCAGGAGATAATGTCTTAGAGGTAAGATGGAGGAGGCTAAAGGACATTTTCTAGGACTTTGTAGATCATCCTAAGAACTTTGACTTTTACTGTAAATGAGAGGAAGTCATTAGAGGTCTTGAGCAGAAGAGGGATTGCTCTAGCTGTTGTGTTGAGAATAGAATGAAGTGGGGCACGGGCAGAAAGAACAATTAAAAAGCTGTTGCAATTATAGAATAACAATAGTGACATGGACCAAGTGATAGTGAAAGCCAGGGGATAGTGCAGAAAGTGAGAAGTACTATAGTAGGATTCTGGATATATTGTAGAAGTCAACCCAGGAGGATTTACTGACAGATGGATTTGGGGTGTGGAAGAAATAGAGGAGGCAAGGATGACTTCAGGGTTGTTCCATGAGGCCCATGACCATGTCTTTAAATTTCTACCACTATATCTCCTATATATATAGTAGGCAATACATATATATTCATTGCAATAACAGCACAAAATAAGTACTATTATTTTCATTCCCAGTTTAAAGATGAGGAAACTGAGACAGAAAGAGTTGAGATTACTTAACTTGTCCAAGATCATACAACTAGGAAGTAGCTTTCTTTCCTCCCTCCCCATCTCCTTTCTTGCCTTCCTCCCTTCTTTCTTTTTATTTTCTTCTTTTTAAAAGATAGGATAGTCTAGGTCATTTTTGTAAACTGAGAGAAATTATATAGTAAGGAGGGAGAAACTGATGATGAAGGAGTCAGGGTGAATAACTATGGAACAAAGTTCTCTTCAATTTAGTGGGTGGGAAGAAGGAAGGATCCAGAAAAGAATGGGAAGAAGCAGCAAAGAATTAGGAAGAAACTCTAGCATATGAGGATTTTTTTTTCCTTCAAGCCTGTTTTTAACTACTCCTGGACATATGTTCTTCCAGATATTTCTTAGAAATATGTTTACTATGTGAATTCTATTAGACCAGGCTTGTGGTCCTCATGAAGGCATTTATTCATTCCCCTGTCTTCTCCCAGATTTCCTACGTAGACTAAGTTACTCATTGTAGTGGATTGAATAGTGTCCTCCCAAAATGTATGTCAACCTGGAACCTCAGAACGTGACCTTATTTGAAATAAGACTTTTTGCAGATGTAATTAAGGTAAGGATCCCAAAATGAAAACTTTCTGGATTAGGGTGGGGGAAAGGCCATATGAAGATGAAGGCAGAGATTAAAGTTCTGCCAAGGAACACCAGGAGCCATGAGAAGATGGAACAGACAAAGAAGGATCCTTCCCTATAGTCTTTGAAGGGAGTGTGGCCCTGCTGACACCTTCACTTCAGACTTCTGGCCTCAAAAATGTAAGAGAACAAAAATTACTGCTGTTCTAAGCTATCCAGTTTGTGGTTATTTTCTTATGGCAGCCATAGGACATTAACACATTAGGTTGGTTCTTGAAAACTGATGAAAACTGATAAAAAAAAATGCTTTTCTTCCAGCTTTTGGTTTCCCTATGTGTAAAAATAAATAACTAATTCATATGAAACCATAAAATATAATTTGAACAGATAGAAGAATTTATTATATCGAACCTTAAAAACAAGTTCGTATTTTCATATTTTACAAACCTAGAAAAAGTAATGTACAATACTAATTGACTCTTTTTACAGAATTTTCAAGTATCTGAAGCCATGTATTTCAATAAATACATTATTAAATTATTTAGATGATATTCTAGAAAATGTATAATCCCATTTGTTCATTTACTACTGAATTTTGAATTAATGCCCCTTCTGTGATATATTGCATCTGTTCTTCCTTTTAACAATAAGAACAAATTTCCATAATGTGTCAAAGAATCCAAGTCAAAGAAAATAGTTGTATGATACTACTTTTTATATTCTCATATTTAAGATCTTACATTTATGAGACATTCACCTCTTTGAGAAGTTGATGAAAGCTTTTCCCAATCCAAAAAAATCTACATATAAATTTTTTACATAGAAAAATTTGTGTGCTGTATCAGGGAGATCACAAGTCCCTTGAAATTCATCTATGGCTCTTCTAATAGTCCAAAGATTCTCAGGTTAAGAACCATCTATATTCAGGCAATATTAGAGAGTTGGCAGATGTATGGCTTTTTGGTGTCGTATATACTATTCAGATATTACTGCCATGGTTTTTCCTTTAGACCTTAAAATTATTTTGGCCCAAACAAGATTTGCAATGACATTAATAATAGTGCTTACTTTGACAACACATATACTATAAGGGGAATATTAATTAATATATTCTAAGTGCCACGAAACAAATTTTCTTTAGAGTATGAGGTTTTAAAATATGATATTCACATGTGTTAATTTATTACCCCTTGGGAACAAATTTTTCTGAAGGAGAAATGGAAGTGTGCAAGAATGGGATTCAATACAGAGAAATCTGATTCATAGCAAACTGTTATGAAAACGGGAGCTCCAAAAGTCAGGTGTACCTAGTGGGGGAAAATGTTCCCAATGAACTGGAATAAATACCTCATCTGTCATTAGGGTTGCAATTGATCTGCCAATCTCATGGTACTGTTGACCCTTTCCCAGGGGTCCCAGAAGAATGAACAAAAATCTGTAATTAAGAAGAAGAAAAAAGAAATGTTTCAAGATAGGAATATAAAAATAATTTTAATAGTACAGAATCATTCATCTCAAAGGAATTACTGAAAATGGGGATTTTGGTATGAAACAATTCCAATAGTTTTTCACAGTTTATTATTATTTTGAACATTTTACAATGATTGACTCTTATGCTTAAGATCCTTGAGCTTTAGGAAGGCATGGTTACTTATCTCAGTGTTCCCCATTTAGTTATCTGTACAGCATATGCAGTTGTTACTGGGAATTATAAGCATTCTATAATCCTTAGAGGAGAGAGGTGGGACAAGTAAAATCTTATTAAACCTTTCTAAAGGGGAAGGAAGAAAACTCACTTGTATGTAAAATGGAGAGCAGTTCAAAGAGGGAAAAAGGTAATATGGTAGGCTATACAAGGAGAGAATGTATGGTCAAAAAACAGTAGATTCATGTAAAATTTACATTAAATATAAAAATTATTGTTAGACATCAAAAATCAGTTAGGTAGAAGAAAATGGAGAGTTAATGATCTATTAATTCCAATGCTAGAGAAATAAAAATAGCAGTTGCACTATAATATTCCATCTAAATTAGGTCTAAAGTTTGGCACATTCATCATCACAACTGGTGCTTTTAAAGAAATCAACATATGCTCTGACTTTAGAGAAGTGATAATTGCCCTGTGTCTGAGAAGGTCAATGCTTAAGGGAAATTGTGAAAATTAAAGAATGCCCTATATTCTACAGTATCATACTATGGTGTTAATTTGTTAAATGGTTTATGCTATTAAGTATGAAGACTAATGACTTTATAAAGTCTACTAGAATAATTACTATAATTTGACCCTTCATTTAGTTATTAACTTTAGAAATTGTACATGTTTTTACATGATGCATCTATTTCACAATCTTAAGATGATGTGACATTAATTTTTGTGTCAGATGTAACTGAATCCAAGACAATGTCTACTAAATAGAAATGTTCACAATATATCGAAAACAGGAATAGTTTAATGTAGCGACAGATGCTTTATCAAGTATAATACTTTAAAGACATTTCCTAACCTATGTACATCTTGCTATTTTTTAGGTTTTTATTCCTTGGGCCTATTTATAAAGTCCTCAAAGATTATTTTCTGATATTTCTGTTACGTGTAGCCATTATATTGATGGGATACCCTTTTGCCTTCCTAAGAAATGATAATTAAAAACCCTGAATGGCTTCCTTTATTCTATTCGTCTAACTCATCTTCTTTCATTTTTCACCTTTTCCTCATGAAATAGTCTAGTCTTTGCATCTGCCCTTACACAGTTACTCTCCAGTGCCCCTGATTTTTTTCTCCATTGTTCTCTGCACATACTTTGCTGTCTGTATGAAATGAGGTCACCTAACCCTGATGGTTTTCAAAGTGAGAGTATATAACCTCATTATGGCTTTTCTCTAGCCCCGGAGATTTTTTCTTTTCTTTCTTTTGAAATACAGGAAATACCATTGTCATAAATAGCCATCATTTACTCATAGTTCACCAGACACCTTCCTAAATGGTGGAATGAGAATATATGGCTTGGAAGACTGAAAAGGAATTTTAAACTGCTAAAAAAAAATACCTCTACAATTAGTAAGTCTGACATCTTAAATCTGAATCCCAGATTCCCAGAAACTCTGCATAGGTTATAGGTTGTACATAGAAAAATACAGACTTAATCATATAGTCAGATGCCACTTTAATGTGCTCAATTCACCCTTTCATTTTTTAATAAAGGTTGACGTGTATCAGAAATCTCAGTAGCTCTCAAGAAAGATAAACAGCAACGTCTTTCTATAACCTGAATGGCCACTAGGTTCCTCCCTCAAACCACAGAGTCAGGCATAGGTACTTGAACACTAAGTCCCATTTGTTTCACCTGAGCTTTTACAAAATAAGGTCTCTCCTGGCTGCACTATTCCATATTTCTGGAATATATTGTGCATAATCAAATCATGGAGTGATGTAATCTGCTGTGTTTTAAGGCCAAAGATCTTACAAATCCAGTTGCCAAAACACCTGAACTTTTCATCAGTTTAACTTGACTAAAGCAAGTTTGGAGGAGGAGGAGGCATTATAACAGCATCCGAGACAGCTATTGCATCAAACAAAGGGCACCAGTCATGTGGGAAATGGGGCCCTAAATAGACATGTTTTGCTGTGGGAATAGGACTAGAGTGAAAGGCTATCTGCATATAAGCATTGCATTTGATGGTCAATATAGGGAAGAAACCAAGGTTCCTGGATAAATTGCTAGGAACCCAATGTGTTAAAGTCAATATTCTATTTGTTCTTTTCATTGTATTCACAATTTCACCCATGGACAGATAGCCTTATATGTACAAAATGAGGATAAATGATAAACAACATAATTCAGTTTGTGTTATCCCTAAACTGTTAGTTTTTTATGTGTAGGTAAATGAAAAACAAGTTCAGTAATCAAATTAAATTTGTACTTTTGACTAGGATTCAACCACACTACTATGATGCCACTACCAGTGATTCTTTAGACCCCATGTGTAGGAGGTGCACTGTGCCTAGGATTGAAACATACAATATATTTGATATGTCAGGGACTATCCTAATGAGAGCACGTACATGCATTTTGAAGGCCTACCCATTCAAGCATAAGCCAAACCTTGGAAACTTTTATCTTTTTGAGTTTGACCACACTCATACACAAGATCCTCCCTTTCTTTAGCATATAGTTTAATCTAATCTTTAAAAAGAGCCTAACACTTTAACACTTCTTTTACCAAAAATTTAAATAAGAATTTGCATGGTTATATAGGCTAGGGTACCCCTAGAGATGAGGAATATGCCTAAAATAAAACATAGAAGTTTGTGAGGGAGGAGGAAAGAATAGAACAATTTTTAAAATACTTTTTTTCCCTCCTCCACAAGCAAGAAGAAACAAGTTTTGTGGATTACACATTAGTTTCTAGTCAAATTTAATAGGAAATCATATTTCACCCCCACTTTTTTCTATAAAAATAGTTTAAGAAAAATGTAAAAGATGTTCTTATACATTTTACCTGGTTGGGATTGGGACTTCAGCCAGTCCTTGAAGCAATACAGCTGGAGACAACCTGACAAACGCAACTACAGTTCGATCTAAGAACTCCAGTTCTCCAACTAGGATGTTTGATGCTTCAGCACCTGGAGGAATCTTTTTCATAAAATGCAGATCAACCTGCAGTCATCACAAAGTAAATGAGGTAATCAAAATTGGAAAAATGTGATAAATCATATTCTAGCCCATGGCTTCACATACAGTAATCCATCTATGTATAGTTTCAATACATACACTTAAACATCTCATTTGGCATTTTTTTATAACTTTTCTCTTTAATTGTGGATTATTTTAATTTGTCATCAATAAGCTAAATACTCTTGTTTTTCTATTCATTATTTTTAAAAGAAACTTCTTTGGCATCAACAATCTTGAAATTTTAGGAGGGAAAATACTCAATGTAATAAATATACTTTATAATTTAATTAGAATTTGCCAACAGATTTAATATTTCATTCTATATTACCTTAATTTTTGTATATAACATATTTCAATTAAAATACTCAAAAATAAGCTAATCTCAAGAGAAATATAATCATGTTTCTCCTTATACTATAAATTATGACTTAAAACTTCATCTTTTTTCTAGTTCTATATTCTTCACATTCTATACTTGGTCTGATAATTCTTCAATTTTTTTTTTTCATCAGAGAGTTCAGATATGACAGAGTAGAGAAAACAAGAATAAAAATATTAACATTTGGAATTGCTCAAGAGCCGTAGTTGAATTTCTGACATGAGATGTCTGTGACTGAAATGAATGCACACAAAACAAAACCAATCATTAATAAGAAGAAATTCTAAGAGCCAAGGGTGAACTCTGAAAAATGAATGTAAAATATCCTAAAGAATAAATATCAATTTTTATGTACAAGTCCTCAGTGAAAATCAAGCAGTGACTCTAAAGTAAATTTTAAAAGGCCTATTTCTTGTTTCTAATTCATTTGAATTGCTTTTTATGGAACTCTGTTTTCAGGGGTAAAGAGTTTATCTGCTCTAGTAATTGGTTTTATGCCCTTGTGTTAATAAAATGGGGGTCAAGGACTAAAGCGGGAATAGCTAAGAGGGAGAGGAAGAGCTCTGGCAAATATGGGTGAAGCTAAGAATATTTTGTAGGCTAGATAGTTCTTTTGTAGGTCTAATGATTTAAGAATATTTATTCCAAAAGTGTAAAATGAAGAAACTTAAAATTTCTAGGAGTGACTTAGAAAATCCATAATAACACTTTAATGACTACATTAAATAATGTTCTTAGAGTGAACATTAAATATGTTGCTTTCTGAAATTAAGACCTTTGTGTAGCTATTGGGAAGGTTTATAAATAACTAATCTTTCTGTAGGATAAAGGCACCACAAAACATAAAATCCAGTATATGGGGTATGTATTTTATCACAAGGATTAAATATGAAAATAATCTGTAGTACTTCATCAAAAAACACCAAATAGAACCAATATTTTATTTTAAAAAATAATTTAACAAAATAAAACTGCTTATAAAAATAAATAAATGACAAATATTACAAATTCTAAAGTTTTTAACCTACAAATATACTCCTAAATATCAATTTGTAAATTCATAATGTGTATTGGATTATATAGCAAATATTTTGCTTTTGTAGAATCTAACCTTTTAATTTATAGATAAAAAGTATTTAATAAGGTTAAATTTTATGGGACTTGTTATGGTATTTTTGTATGTATATTTCTAGCTAGGAGAAGTATACACATTAAAAATGCTTTACATTTCCTCTATAATGCAAACATTCCTAAGAAACGTATAAAAGAATCCCTATACACTATTAGCCCTGTGAGAAAAACATAATAAATCTTCATAAGTTTTTAAGAGCCTAAAAAAATAAACAATTATGTTTTAACCCACAGTGGAAAGAATAATGATACAATACTAATACATCAGAACAAAATTTAAAATGAGAAAATATCTTTTAAAATATCTATAATTGCTAATCAATATGAGTTATATTGGTAATACTTGAAGTTTAAATTCCACCTAGAAAACAAACTTCCTTTAAACTCATCTATTGATTGACAAATGCCATAGTCTCAACTTAAATTCTGTGTCTCAGGCAGGTGCCAATGATAGAAATAACTGCTTTAAGAAAAAATTTAATTAAATCAAGAGATACATAGTATGCCAAATTAGTTTAATTTTATAAAAGGAAATATATGGTCCTTACACATGAAATTTTTAAATTACATAATACCTAATATATCATTGATATTGTCATTTAGAAAAAGCATTAAAACATACAGAATTCAATTTCAGGATTAGCAAATTTATCTTTTGATTTAAAATGTAATAAATTATAGTTACATATTTGAGGTAGGTATTATACTCATACATTATATTATTCCTGGAGTAGACATATATTTGGGGGGATAACAGATGATATAGTATCCAATTATATTATTATCTATTATTCCTAGGGTAGCCTTATATTTTTGTATTTGTGGCATTATATAATTCATAAAGAACTTTATCTGTTATATTGAAACTACCTTATATATTTTTTAATTTCAGAGTATTATGGGGATACATACATTACATATAATGCCTTTCCCTTACCCAAGCCAGGGCTACAAGTGTGCCCTTCACCCATACAGTGTGCTCTGCATCCATTAGTTGTGAGTTTACCCACTCCATCACCCCCTCCCACCTGACCGCCACCCAATGAATATTACTACCATGTGAGCACCTTAGTGTTGATGGCGAGTAAATGTAGTACTTGTTTTTCCATTCTTGTGATATCTCACTTCAAAGGATGGGATCAAGCTCTATCCAAGATAATATAAGAGGTGCTAGTTCACTGTTGTTTTTGTAGTTGAGTAATTAATATTCCATGGTATACATATACCATATTTTACTAATCCACTCATGTATTGATGGGGCATTTGGGTTGTTTCCACATCTTTGCAATTGTGAATTGTGCTGCCACAAATATTCGTGTGCAGATGTCTTTAATACAGAATGTCTTTTTTTCCTTTGGGCAGATGCCTACCAGGGAGATTGCTGGATCAAATGGAATTTCTATTGTTAGCTCTCTGAGATATCTCCAAATTATTTTCCAGAGGGATTGTACTAATTTGCACACCCACCACGAGTATAAGAGTTTGCCAATCTCTCCATAGCCATGCCAGTATTTGTTGGTTTGGGACTTTTGGATAAAGGCCATTCTCACCGGAGTTAGGTGATATCTCATTGTGGTCTTGATATATTATTGGATACATATATTGATACATATATGATTATGTCTTCTTTTGAAAAATTTTGGTTCATGTCCTTTGCCCCTTTTTTTGATGGGATTGTTAGATTTTTTCCTTGTTAATTTTCTTAAGTTCTATATAGATTCTAAATATCAGCCCTTATCGGATGCACAGCATGCAAATATTTTGTCCCAATCTGTAGGTTGTCTGTTTGCTCTATGATAGTTTCCTTTGCTGTGCATGAAACTACCTTTTTAACATAACAAAAAATCATGTTTAAGGACCACAATTTAACCTTTTGTAAAATTATAACTACCTAAAACAGCTCTTGGGATCTAGGTTAAATTACATCCCTAAGACAATCTCAAGTGGACCCAAACACCTGGAATTGACATAAATCCTCGAAGTTCCTGGTCCTCTGAATGGGATCTTGAAGGAATCAAGCTATACTGTTCTGGGTCTGGATTGACACTCATGCTGCTGGGCTCTCCAAGCCCCACCTTTATGATAAGAAGGGAAAACCCTTTATTCTGAGCATTTGATACTTAAGCTGTGACACCAAATTGAAGGAAAAATGCATGGAAATTTACGGAGAAAGTTAAAGTCTTAAGCCCATTATAGAAAGTACAAGAAAATGAGTAGAGATTCTCTGAGGAAAAGTAGTGTCTTGATACTAACTATTGAGTGATCTTGAGTAGCTTTCTTAATCTCTCTGGAATTCAGCTTTTTTGCTAACTAAATGAGGAGATGTCTATGGTTCTAGGGTTTAATAATTCAACTCTCTGTAACATGTTTCACACACTAAAGCTAGGTACAGAAGAAAGTTCTTTCTACATTTAAAATTATGTGAAGCCTTCTTTAGGTCATTTAAAGTAAAGAAACATCACCAACATAAAAAAGCCATCTTCTACTATCAAATTAAAACAGAGACTTATAATATTTTGACATATCTGCTTTATTATAGGAAGCTAAAACCTAACAATTCAGGTTATATCCTAAATCATTCCTTAAATGAATAAATATGATGGGCCTATCCATTGGAAGGGTTAAAAATGTGTAGGTTGAATATAGATAGAATATAGGATCAAGTCACATGAAATGAATAAACACCTTTTTTCCCCCTTAACATCTCAAAATTCTGCTGGGGTTTAATGGTGAAAGTAACCTGGGGACTAGGTGAGTTTTGACAAATTCACTACCAAACTGAAATCATAAGGCTAAAAAAACAATCTTAACTCACACACCTGCAAAATCTGGCAGTAAAATGTGTTTCCATAGTGATGAAGGACAACTGTTCTTTCCAACCCTACTTATTTGCCCTCTCAGGTTATAAGGTAAGAAGTGTTACTACTTTTTTGTTTTTTGTTTTTAATTCCAAAACTAAAGGCTTAAATTGTTTTGAATCTTGCAGGATTCATCCAGCAAGTACATCTGAAACACTTTTCAAGGTACTAAACATCTGGTGGAAACCAAAACATATTAAATTCTGATCTAGTATCTATCTTTAATACTATCATTTGTACTAATATTATTATTAATAATAATAATAGTAATCACCTTCTATTGAGCACCTGCTGTAATATTCAGCACTCTGTCAGGCGCTCTCTCTATATATTTTCTCTTTAAATCTTTGCAACAAAACTGTAAATAGTTATTTTTATTCTTATTTTGCAAATGAGAAGCCTGAAGTTTAGCAAACTTATCCAAGATCAGAGAGTTTATAAATGCTAGAGTCAGGATTTAAGATCTCATGCTCTTTCACTAAAGCCATGTTCTTTCCAATATGCCAGGCTTTGAACAAGGGACTGAGGAATACAGGTGTCTGGCATTAAATAGAGGGCTCTAGAAATTTAACTTGCCTATTAAAAGATTGAATGGGCCAGTGAACCAAAATGCAATGAGGAAGAAAAGGATTAAAGGAAAGAAAATCTATTTTTCACTCTTGGGTAGTTTTAATTGTTTTGGGGGATCTGAAGATGAGACTGCTATCTCCAACTGGCAATCTTCATTTTCTTTCTTATGTGATGAATTATTTTTGAAGGCTGCAAAGATAGATCACACAACTAAAAGCAAAATGATACAGAGATATAATATGCAATGTATAAAGTTTATATTATTTTTAAAAAGGTAATTTATTTAAAAGGATGAGCTATATGGTTTATAACCATTGTTTTTGGGAATGTTAAATGTACCTTTGTAATACTGTTAATGCTTGCATAAATAAATATGTAACTTGTTATGTCATTGCTTTTAAGATATTGTTTCAAATTAAAAACATCAGAAATTAAATGTATGGCAATTTGTGACAACTTTATTCCAACTTGCAGATGAATGAAGATGCAATGCTTTAAAAAGATAACTTTTAGAGTGGCAGATGGAATGCATTTGAACTGGCTTAATGTTTGAATCACATGTCTCCATATAGTGAAATGAGCTTTGAACCACTGTAGAAATGCCCCCGAGGATGCCCTCACCTCTCTCTCTTGCTGGTGTGGAGGTCCTTTTTCATGCCTTTGTTTCATCCCACATGGACTAGTATGCCCCTTTTGTTGGCCTCCCAGTCCCTGCACGCATAATTAACAGACTTAAGCTGGTACACCATGCTCCCACGGAGACTCCGCCAGGCACCAGAGGGAGAGCATGCACATAACTAGACCTAGATCATTTAGGCATTGTCAGAGGGATTCTGAAACAGGTCCAAGGAGCTGATTACTATTAATCTTTTCAGAACTTTGATTCAGGCTACTTCCTCTACTGCTCCCTCCCATTCTCACCTCCCCCCACTACTATTATACAATCATTGCCAGTGAGTTACTACTGTTTCAGCCACTCAGATAAAGAGAATTGTTGACCCTCCTTATTTTTACCCAAGCTTGAAACTCCTCCTCTTTTCTATTTGACTCTTAGTTTGACATAGTTGACCATGGCACACATACAATGTCAGGAATTTGCTAACCCAAATCACGTTATTTTCACTGACTCATTATTTTCTTAGAATACATTCAAGTAAATGATGTCATTTGAATTGTCTACATTTAGATGTATTTCTCAACAGTCAATCCTCAGTATGTTTTCATTCAAAACTCTGCTCAGTTTTACATTGCCCTTCCAGGATTTCTTTATACTAATGCCTTTGTCTGAATTACAATGGCAATGAAAATTTACATTGTAAATTTGCTTTCCCAAAAATAAAAGAAAAGTTATTTTGAAAAAAAACCACTAGCAAAAGTTTTTACACAATAGATTAAGCTTCTCTTAAATTCCCTGTGAAGCCTTTTATTCTTTTTATTGGAAGAGATACATTATACCAAGTGGCTGAAACCTGAAGACTATGTATAAAACTTACAAGTTCGGCTTGTGAATAAGCAAAATGTTACTTGTGGGCTAACACTATCTGTAACAATATCAAGCTTTGACTAAGAAACAACAAAAAAGTGCATGCAAAATACTGTGTCAACACCTTTTAAAATGGGTAGTAACATCTAGTAGGAATTTAGCAGCTTACTTAGATGAGAGGGAGAAAAGCTTACCTTGCTGAAGTCAACAGTGCTGTTTTCTCTGCTAACATCATTTTTATTTTCAACACAGGCTGGGGCAGACTGAGGAGAAACAACCTGACCTGCTAAAAGAGATTGTTATTACAGAATACAAACAATTACTTACAGAGTTCTAAACATAAAGTTCATAAAATATGAACTTCTATTGAACTAGACTAACATACATTTCTTAATGGGTTTATAATGTCAGCATGAAGCATCAATATAAATAGATCTATATCGATACAAAAATTCTTAGTTATCAGTTACAGATAGAAATGGGAGAATTCAGTCAAGAACATTTAAACCAACTTTCAGATTGACACTTTCTAAAAGGTTATTCTCTATGAAGAAATATTGCCTACAAAATTATCTAAATGTAACCATGATTTTGAAACATCATTGATTTGAAATTTCAACCAAAACTAATGGTATATATAAAAAACATAAGATACACATATATTAAGATTTAAGCTCAGACTGAAGAATTTAAAATGTAAAGCATTAAAATAAGGGTGAATATTTATCTGAAAATTACACAGTATATTTTTAGATTCTATTGCATCTAAAAAGCCAAACCAATGAGAAAAAGTTCTTTGGTAGTATCTTTTAGAGATTTCTATATGAGGGGTTCAGTTAGAAATTCCTTAATTTTACACAGTATGAACACTGTGAACCTGATTTTTATGCCCATGACTCTTCTATTACATAAGCATAATGATACAAAATAAGATATGAGAAAAGATAAACTTGAATATATTGGTTTCCCATGAACACTAACTAAAACTTAATTATTTTATAGTTCTTTTCTTCACTATAGAGAAGATAATAATATTAAGTGGATAGTAGAGCTGGGAATGTGAAATGGCTAGAAAAGGTCAAATTCTATTACTGACTAAATAGGAAACACTCTTTGCAATCTCAAATCATCTGAAATCTGTCCATAGTCAGCAATGAAATGACAATTAAATGTCTCCCATCTTCAGTTGTTATTTTTGCTATTAAATGAGTAATGATTCAAACCCAACTTTGAAGTCTTCACCAAATTTATGATCCTAATTCAGTGACTCCAAAATATTTCTCTTATTCTCATCAGTCTTAGATGTCAGAACTATTCATTTTGCCTAGATCTCCTCTCTACCTAGCTAAAGCCCAATTTTATTCAAAGTTCACATTCAGTATCATCTTCTCCAATTACTTCCATCTCTGTCCAAACTTCTCTAAACTCCTAGTGTAAATACAAAAAAACCCATTTTCTTTACATTCTCTCCTCAAAACTCACTTATTCTTTGTTACCAAGAAATTACCAAGTGTGATTAAAAACACTATTTATTTTCAAATATTACTATAATTTTGCTTTTTGGACTATTAAGCCACTTAGGCAGGCTTAATAATTAATAGGTATACTAATTAATAGGTATACTTTTTTATGGTTTAAAATTGTTATATTGCCATAAAATAATAGGCTTAAGATCTTCTAGAGCCTAAATATTTTACTGCTTTCACTCAACAAAATGAAATAATACATTTGGGGAAGAAAAAAGTAAAATGACTTTTTAGAGCAAGTTCATCTCAAGCTGTGTATACAAATTTTGAATACAGCATGTTCCAGAGAAATATATAAACTTCAGAGAAATGTCAAACCAGTTATATCAATTATTTTCATTCTCCCATTTCTAACTACAATGTGCAGCTATAGCTGTGAACTGTTCATTAGCAGCCATTCAATTTACCATTCTCAAAATAATAACTGTATTTTTAAAAAACCTTTTACATAATGCATTTGTGCTACTAACAGATGTCTTCAATCACCAGTTTCACATCATTCTCCATATTTTCATGAGTTAGAACATTAAATTTATTTAAACCTAAATTTATTGTATGTTCTGTAAAATTGGTGAAATTTGAGTCATGGAAAAATTTTTTAAATGTATATCTGCTTTCTTATAATAATTTATTTCATATAATATAAAACTACATGGAAGAGCAATTATTTAATTCTATCAGCATACACATGCAAAAAGAGTGTGAACCCAGTGCAAAATCATCAACTTTGAAGAGATTGAATTGGATAGAAAATATGCTGGAACTTTAAATCTGAAGAAGTTGAATACTTTATGTTTTCATTTGTATACTTGAAGCAGAACATTTCACAAATTACCTTCAGGCCAGGTGATATATTTAAAATATTAGCACTTGTATTTCTTCTTGTAAATAATTGCAGTAGCTAATGTATTAACATTATATGTAATAATTGTAATAACATATTGTTCTGTGCTATTCTCATTCTAAGATAACAATTTTATAAAGTTAATAATCATCAGGAAAGGATTTAGAAACTATTTTTGATAAATATTTTAAGTGATATTGACAATGACCTAGTTGAGAGTATTTACCTGAAGGAGACATACTAGGACATTGTAAATTCCTTGCTACTTCTTGATCCTATACATGCGCATAGAATACATGCTATTGCAGGAAAAAAAAGCATAAAAGCTACCAGCCTATGATATAGAAATATAAACTATAAATTTGATATCTTTTATATTTCAGAATAAGCAGTTAAAGAATAGGAGTATTAGTAGTTAAATATATTTAATCACATCAAAAGTCCTGCAAAGTTTAAGGAGCATTTCAAATCTTGGTATTATTTCTAAAAATATAAATTAATTTGTTAAAGTGAAATAATACACATTAAATGTATATATCTTCAAGGAAGTTTTGACAACTTGGCAGGATGCAAAAAAATGTATAGGTATTTAAAAATTAAACTAACAAGTTTGGTTTGGGTTATTTTGAAACAGTACAAGCCTTTGAAAAAGCTTAAAATTTTAAATTTTATTTGCTATATAAATAAAACTATAACTCACACATGAATTATAGAGAGTTCTATATAATTAGAAGAGAGTTCTAATAATTCTATATAATTATGTGAATTATATAGAATTAGTCCGTAGAACTAATGGAACCTCATAAATTAAAATAATTTTTATAATTCTATTATCTGTTATAATCTTTGACAAAATATTTATTTCTTTAGTTTGTCTTAATTATTGCCACCTTTCAGTAGAAGATGATGGGATTTAATTTCAAAATGAATTTCATTAACTCAAATAATATTATATAAGAAGAATCAATAAATTTAGAAGAATCAATAAATTTAGATTTTGAAAGGGCATCTCTTTTTCTTGCTGATATCTAAGGCAATAGTTCACAGAATAATCACTTTCAGGTATAGGATTTTAAGTTCAGCCAGAAGTAAATATGTTTCCTAATAGAATAACAAAGAACTTTCTAGGATATTTCCCCTCATGACAAAATAGTGTAAAGTTAGCATTTAGCACTCATATACGTATGGAAGCTTTATGAATGCTAATTATATATGATAATTTTTCTAACCATTATGGCACAATGCTTGCAACATAAATGCTTTTGCCTATTCATTTATAATACTTTCACTTTTCCCACTGATCACTACCCATATTAATATTTCCTGTAAGTGAATGTCATTACAATGTTTAATTACCTCTGTTATAATGCCTACATAATTTTGAGGTATAAAGATGACTATGAAAAAAGATGTTTATTAACTCAGTAACCTTATTACATTTAGGGTAAATTATTCAAAAACTATGAAAAGTGCATATCATTAACATTAACTAGTGAGAGTCTATGACTATTTAAATATAAACATTTGAGAAAGCTAACATCATCCTCTATTTACCACACACATTTTTTCTGACTTGTTAAACTCAAAGAGTTCTTCATCTTAAATCCAAAATTCTAATATTTGTTTGAAATCTTATCAATTAAGGTATATAGTATGTAATATTCATATTAGCATCTATTTAAATTACTTTTCTTTGAGTCATGAATGCATTTTTTTCCTCTAGACCTCCATTTAGGGAACATATATCAGTCCAATAACAAGTTATTACAGAACATGTATTTTTCTAGGGATAATTATAACATGTATGGGGCAAGCATACAAGAAAAATTGAGAGTTTTTGAGTGACTAGTAACTAGAAAAGGGAAGCTCTGCTTTTCTGCTTGTTACACCATAAGTTGTTCACGAAGTCTATTGTGAGACTGGCATAGTCGTTTCCTTCATTATAAAGTTGTGGAGCGGAACATGGGATCCCATCAAAAGTACTATTTCATGACTTTAAGTAATGTCAGTATTATCAAAGCACCTCATGAAACACAACTGCAAATAAATGTGTTCTCAAAAATCCTGTTGAGAAGTATATTAACTCATCTGTCTTATAGTCTCCTTGAGTAAATTATATACATATGTATTATAAAACAGCAGCTTTTAATTTTATATTTGGCCAAATTCAAAGCAATAGAATATGTCTCTTAAGTGTATTATTATTATTTGTTACTGCTTAATCCACTGTAAATAGTATGAACTAGAAGGAAACTGGGATGAAGACATGGACGTACATTACTATTAACCTAGAGACCAAGCTGGTTTACACTACCTCAGAAACCTTCAACGCATTTAGAGTACCCAAAGGGTAGGAGATGAGGGAGGTACAGAGATGAGATGAGCCTGTTAGAGACAGACACAAGACAGAGCAAAATAAAGAAATATAAAGATGAATGACAAAGTTACATACATGTGTAACAATACATTTATTCATGGGAATAGAAAACATGAAGAAAGAAGGGCTAAATATTTAGAAAATGTTGATTAGGTGAGGTACACTTCAAAAACATGAAAAGTATGTACATAATTAAACTTGGAGAAAAATTAGTATGCCTGAAATTAATTTATGTAATATAAGAAATAATAAGTTTAAACACATCACACTAGAAATATGTTTGCTGTTAAAATGCAGTCTTAACATTCCAATTCAATAATGACAATATAGCCTCTGAATAGATCCATCAGTTGTGTCCACATGTCATCTTGATTTTCTTGGAACAGTGGAAAGTACCAACTTTAGTAAACAATGTTTAATTCTTTCATATACATGAATCTTTTATATGTTTTCTCCCAGGTGAATCTAAGAATTATTATTCTAGATTTATTTTTTTCTTCAAAGGTACAACATTATGAAAGATAAATTTTAAACCCTACGTAATTTTATTCATGAGACCATAGTATTTTTTTTAAAAAAGAAAGCAAATAAATATCTAAACACATAAAAACATCATGCATCTGAAGAGAAAAAGAAGTGATTATAAGACAAAAAATCTGATTTCCAAAACTGTAAATAAAAATCATGCACAATACATATGTGTACATTGCTTTTAGGTTGCACTCTACCCAGGCCTAAAGAGTGAACTGATATCCCATAGTTACAAATCTAAATGTTCTTTGGTAACCTATGGCTTTGAATGGTAAGTTACTTTCTGCTCTGTAACTCCTTTGGAGATCCTAAATAAAAAGTACAAATGGAAATTATTTGGATTAGGAGGGAGAAAATGCACGTGAAGGAAAAGGAACAGAGTTAGAAATTATTATTATAGCAAAGGACAGGGTAGAATAAAGACATCCTATACTTAAGGAAACTAAGAATCTCAACTTATTTTCAAAAACACAAAAGTTATCACAAGGGTAATAATATTTTATGATAGATTTGTAATCTAAATGTCTCAACATGTAATTGTAATATCTAAATAATGCAGATACTGAAATATTTTGCTTTCTAGATCATGTAACATGAAAGTCTTATTTTTAGTATTAGAAACTCTTCCTAGATTCTATGAATTATTTGAATAACTAGATATATTTAGAGTGCTTTCCACCCATACCCTTTTGAGGTTCTAATGTCAAAGTAGATATTATTTTTCTATTATTTTTGCTGTTGCTTTGCCAAATGTAACTGTCACTTTTTATTGAAACATCAGAATCAGGCATTTAATTCTCACAGTTTTGATGCTTAATGAAAAGTGAAAGTTAAACACAGCATGGTGGCATTAAAAATGCATGGTGAATCCATACTATCCTACATCTTAGCCCTGAAGAGAATGCAGAATACCAAGAAGAAAATTACACAAAAAAGCAAACTAGCATATTTAGAGGTGAAATTAACAAATTATCACAAATCACTCAAAAAGGTATGGACGAGAGAATGTAGACTTGAGGAGGAGAGGAGCAAGGATATATACTAACTTGTTAATCTGATCTATAAAATGGGGCAGATTCACATCTGAATTTTTAACCCTTGGGAGTACTACCAAGGTAGCATGCTCAAGGAACAATTCAATTAAGGAAGTGGAAACCTTATTCTGTATGACTGTTTTAGACGTCTTAACATAAGCATCAGTTTGTTTTTGAGGGAATTTCAATTGTTTTGCCTCTAAAGTAAAAAGCACCTTAAACAAGAGAAGGGGACTTATTTCTATCCCTATACTTGGGAAGGAAAATGTGTTCTGTTTTCAAGTTTCTAGAAAATCCTTGCTTTATTTAATTCCTATTCTATAATCTTAAAAGAAAAAGTCAATCTATTTGCATAAAATATTTTACTAGAGGTTTTTAAAAATAAAATTATTTTTACCTTTTTAAGATATTTTAAATCCTTTTGCATTTTACTGTATTACTACACACAAAAATTTAAATCTCTATTGCATATTTGAAACAAAATATTAAATTTATATTTATGGCAATTAATTTCAATTTGTTTATCTAGAATTTGTCAGGTTTAGAGTTCATAAGTAGACTGAGAACCTTAGTAGTAAAGGTCTTTTGCACTTTTTCTTCCACTTTTGGGTAGTAGATTTATTTCTAAATTGGTGAAGTCTATACATATTTTCAGAATTCTCAACACACATAATTATGCAAAGTGTGTGAGGAAGCAAAACAGAGTCATAAGGAGGTGTTATAAGCCTAAGCTTAGAAAACTACTTCTGACAGCATACTCTACACAACAATACTTAATTGGGTATGTGAATCTTATTAGAAATGTTTCCAAGTTTTTATTACCCTTACGTATGCCTTGAAAAGATTTGTATGTGTTCAGATAACGGTTGATTGTACAGATGGTGACAGAATCCTTCAGAACCACTCAGATTCTAGTTTTTAGGAAAACTAAGCCATTTCCTAAATAAGACAAAAAGCAGGCTCTCAGAAAACCTTGTATCTATATGTAGACTTGTGATTCACGACTGTAATTCTATCACCTCTTCTTATGTTTAATAGAAGTTTAAAGTAGTAACAGTGTGTCTAGGTCTGTATGATATTACAATGAATGGTTAATCCAAAAATTCTATACCCTCTTCCCTCAAAAAAACAAAATACAATGAAATTTTTGTATAATAAACATTATCCCCAATGAAATTTGAGGTATATATTTTGACTAGTTCGCAATCCAAGATCCTTGTCTCTTTGAAGAAACATATATCTTTCTTATAGACATATATCATATTATCTGATTTCCAGAAAAACTGATGAAATTAAGGCAAAAGTTCATTTTTATAAAATGTGCTTGCCTTTTTAGAGAGGTTGTTCATGGATATATATTTTTTTTTCATGGATATATTTTAATAAGGTTTTTGGAATCATGTAGACTTAAGCCCGTAGTCAAAATTAGTAAATATCTGAGTATGTTTTATTAACATCCCTATATCAAATAAATACTAGCATTGTAAGTATAACAAAAGCACTACATTTATAATATGTCTCTCCGATTATCAAAGCTTCAAGTTTTATCATTTTATATATCACATATTTTAAAGCAAATTGTGATTTAGAATGACTTGATTCAAAGCAAGTTATACATCCTCAAAATGTTCAGTGGAATCTACAAATATAAATTGGTACTCATAACACTTTTAGTGGATTTAATATATGCACAACTACCGACTCTTCTATATAACAACAGTGATTATTATCCAGTCATTGAAAGGTCTTAAAAATCAAATAAACATTTCAAAAATAATTTTTCCATTAAGAACTGGTTCTATGTCCTGAGATAAAATTACACTTAATCATCTTAATCTATTTAATAAAGCATTTCTTCTATATTTGTTTGTGTATATTTCATTCAGTAGTATGAAAACTGGTAAAAATTCCCATATGAAGCAAAGTCTGGAGAGAACTCATTTTCATACATTTGTATTTAAGGCATCTCTGAAGCTTTTGAAAATCAGAGTGAAATTACATGATATTCCATGCTGTCAATGCATGTGCTTTAGTCCATTTGTGGAAATCAGAGTCTTTCCAGTAAAGCATTTCAAAATACTTTTCATTAATTTTTATCTTTTAGAACTGGAAACTTTGATAGCTGATGAAAGTGTAACAAATTTTTACCATCTTCATCGTAATTCCATTTTCCTTCATGAGACTAATGGAAAGGACAGATGATAACAGGAGATTTCTAAGCAACTTCCTTAGGACCAATGATGAAGGGTTAAATGGATTCAAGGAGAGAACAAAAATATAGGAAAGATAAAACAATCTGAAGCATAAGTCATTGTATGTCATAATTGCTAGGAGATAATGGTGATCATCTATATTGGTATAAGAAGATGCCAAGTGGAGTGGCTCCATGGATGAATGTCAAAGATGCCGTATTGCAAACAGCAATGAGCTCATGAACTGGAATCAGGCTTAAGATAGAGAGAGCCACAAACAATGCACTCGCTGGTCTTTTCAATCATTATCGCTAATGGAATTTGTTGACTATGAGCAACGCGAAACCACTATCTTTTTTCCACAATCCCTAGATGATGATCATTATTCCTTTTAACCCAGGACCATGTATGGCATACGTCAAAACATTGCATTACATTTTCAAGCTATGGGACAGAGAATAGAATCTTGTTTGGTATGCAATAGATTTTCCATTTATGTTTGCTGCATTTAAATCTATAAGTTCTTATTAAATATCAGAGATTTTTTGCATTTTTCATTAGCTTTTCAGGAAATCTAAATTCTTCATTAAAATTTCTACAAGTTGATGCTTGATAACAAGACTATGTATGCATATGCAAAGAATTCTATCACAATCTGAATTTGAATAAATTTGATTTGAATAAATCATGTTTCAAATAAACCATGTTTTAAAGGATTTAGAAGCACTTTGATATTTCAGAGACCTATAGTAGACATAAAGAGCACAATAAAGAGGCATTTACCATTTTTGTCCATGGAGTTTGGTTCTGATTGTTTCTTGCCAATATCAGCAAAGGAACGAACAATGGGAATCCTGTTGGTGAGTTTTTTCTGATTCTGGTGGTGATGCTGTTTCATCAGTGCCTCATGGACCCTGTGGCGTACATCTTCATTCAGCTGACCTGAGCTCACTTGTTGGTCAAGGACCATATCTGTGAGAAAAGGCAGGAAGAAGATAAGCACAGCTTTCCTGTCGTACATGTGCCAGCAGTGAACCAGAATCCAAATATGCAAACTCTAAATAATATTCTTCTTAAAATAGGAATGACTTCCTTAAAAAATATCTAAGTATGATGCTACAAACAGAAGTTTATCTTCAACTAGAGAAATGTTGCACAAGAAAGACTTGGACAATTTTTCATTATAAGCTTTTCAATTTTAAATATATAATTTTTATGGAATATTATTTTTCAGATGGACATAGTTGTATGGAGAAGAAAGCCCTTTATTTCTCTATTATTCACACTGATGGGAGGGAATAGTTGTAAAGATAATATCAAAATCGTTAGTGCCTGTAATCCTAACACTCTGGGAGGCCAAAGTGGGAGGATTGCTTGAGGTCAGGAGTTCAAGACGAGTCTAAGCAAGAGTAAGACCCTATCTCTACTAAAAATAGAAAATGAGCCTGAGCTGGCATGGTGGCACATGCCTATGGTCTCAGCTACTTAGGAGGATCGCTTGAACCCTAGAGTTGGAGGTTGCAGTGAGCTAGATGGTATGCACCACTGCACTCTAGCCAGGGCAACAGAGCAAGACTCTGTCTTAAAAAAAAAAAAAAAAAGAAATGGTTTTATATTTACATTTTAATATTGCTTTCTTCCCTTTTCTAGTAGAGAATAATTTCCTTATTTTCTCTTTAAGTGAGCAAAAGTCCATCTGTGAAAATCTGATGCAAGGAGACCCAGGCAGCTATGTAGTTGCCTGCTTTTGGAAACTAAACAGTTCTCTTTCATTTTGATAGAAAGTCAGCCCTCTCTCAAACTTTCCTTGAAACACATTTTCTTGAAACTTTTGGATAAAAAAATAATTTTCTGTAACTTCAAAACAAAGAATAGAAGGTGAGATTTCAGAAGGCTATAATTAAGCAGATTGATATTTAACATACATATTGTTGGAAATGCCAATAAAGTTAAATAAATGAGTAAAGGTATTTTAAATTTCTCAGTAATATAAATATTGCCTCAATATACCTCAGTGTAATCACCTTTCTGGTTACCAAATACTAACTCTAATTGGTCTTCTTGAGGAACTAACTTTTTATGTAAAGCAAATCACAGTGAACTGCTTTCCACCGAAGGTTTCAAAATCAGCAGAATTCTCCCTTATAAACAATGTTTTCCTTCCATGTGAAAGGAAAATGAGCTACAGAATGAACCTTGTGCCATTCTACCACATTCTAGCTGTGTGCTCTTGCAAAGTTGAGTAACCTCAGTGTCCCTATTTATAACATGGAGATAAGAATATCTATGTCATATGTTGTTTCCAGGACTAATGATATAAGGCACCTGATGCACGGATTGGAATCACTGGATATTTCCCAGTACAACATTTTTCTTGAAATTTTCATTAAATAGGTTATGGGCTCCTGGTTTGAAATTTTTGGTGGTTTTAATATATTCATATTTCATAATAGTATGTCAAGTAGGGACAAAGTCGGGCTTATCAATAATGGAAAACCCAAATCAAACTGGCTAAAAGATTTAATTTTGTTGGCTCACATAACAGAAAGATCAAAGTTTTAGGCTGGCTCTAGTTCCATTTCTCTATGATTTGGTCAGCTTCCTCCTCCTCTAGGTAAAAGCTTTAACCTCAGGCTGGTTTTCCTTATGATTACAGGTGGCTAGCAGCAACAAGGAAATATACATCTTTGTTCATATCTAGTGAGCAACATACTGCTTTTTAGTGACTTTCTCTTAAAAGAAAAGTTCTTTTTCCCTTGTCCAGTAAAAATTCTCCTAAGTACATCTGACACAGCCATGCCCATCCTGAACAAAGCACTGGCAAAGGAGAGGGGTTCACATGATTGGCTTAAGCTAATCAAGAACTGCTCTTCACTCTGGAGTTAATTTTGTAAAGCAGAGGCAGACAAGCTTTTTCTGTATTGAGCCAGATAATAAATATTTTAGGCCATATGATCTCTGTCACAACTACTCAACTTTGTCTTTGTAGCACAAAAGCAGCCACAGATACCACAGACAACATGTACACAAACAAACATAGTTGAAACTTTTTTATGGATGCTGAAATCTGCATTGTACATAATTTTTCATCACAAAATATTAATCTTCTTTTCATTATTTTTCAACCTTGTAAAATGTAATCACCATCCCTACCTTAAAAGCCCTACAAAATCAGGAAGTAGGCCATATTTGGCACATGGGTCATAGTTTGCTCTACCATTTTTCCATTTACAATGGAAAGAGGTAGAATGAATATTTGGGAGTCAGCCATAATATATACCTGGGATGTTTGAAAGTTAGTCGCTATAATTACCTCAAAAGTCCCTTCCAATTTTGAAAATGTGTAATACTATAAAACAATATTTAAATCTATTTTTCAGTTTTTTGGAGATAAGTAGTTATAAAACTCCTGCATTAATTTGAAATAAAGGATATGATAAATTATCAACATATATGACATTACGTTGATACCTTGCTAAGATGGAAAAGAGTATATAAAATGTGTATTATATACTTCATAGTGAAAATTGTAAAGTAGGTTATTAAAATACTGATATGATATCATTGTAAGGCAGTTCCATCCATGAGCTATAAGGGTTTGGTATTCTAATCAGAATCAAAAGCAATTATATAATAAACCTTGCACATGTTTATGATTTTTAATTTCTATTAAAGCTCAATCCTTTCAGGCCTGAGCACTACAAAAAAACCCATAGGTCTCTAGCCTCACAGTTTTTCAGAGATAAGGTCTTTATTTGAAACAATTACATAAGAGAAAGTAAATATTTTTTAAAAAATACTCATCTGTTCATTAGCCACACAGAAACACACAGTACACTCCCCAAAGTATAACTGCATCAAATAATATCTTAATTAACTGGAAGAGTTAAGAATATAACTTATACTAGAGTGAGATTTAAGTACCAAGGGGAATATGATTCTGTAATCACTTAAGTGGTTCTCTTTACCACTACAATATGTATTAATGTTAACTTGAAAAGTCGGAAAGCATAATGGACCATAATGGCTTTGGGCCCAGAGTCAAGTCCTGCAATCTCAGCAGGCTATGATGCCTAAATAAGACAGTCTAGCCTGCCAAAGCATAATGCTAGGATCTGGATAAGAGGAAAAGCAAGAAGAAAAAGGATAAATAGGTCAGTCTTCTAACACTAAGCAGGCTCTTACAAAACTAGTAACATTTGTCAAAAGCCCTCAGAAAATGAAAATTTATTTTTCATCCTAATCAGGTGATTAATTTATCATAACCAATCCATCTTTAATGAAAGCCCCTAAAAGCCATGGGATTTTGCAGATTCTATATAAATCTCTGCATCTTTAAAGATTATCATATAAATCTTTTGAAAACTGATTGTCTTAACCTACAAAGATATTGGGGGAGGAATAGGGATTTTGAAGGTTGTAAATTCTATGGTTTGGTTGCCAGACTAACATGAGTGTGTGTACTAAAGATGTAAACTACGACGGTATACTTACTTTTCAGACCAAGGATTATCACAGCATAGCATGTTAAAAAACATACTGTTATTGCCATACCCCTAAATCTGCAGATTATATTCAGGGGAACAAACTGGACTTTTCCATCAATGAAAGATTTTTGAACAACAAAGTTTGTTTTAATGAGTTGAGAGCTATGAATCTGTCCCTGATACTAACTTTGATTTGGTTTTAATTTCTTCCTAACTCCCACTGACAAAATTAGGTTAAAGTATATACACTGCAGAGGCAATATTTCCATTATTAATCTTTATAATGCTTAATTTCAAATAGATTAACATAGAGCATAAAATTGGCTGTAATTTACATGAATATAATTAAGAAGCACTTTCAATATAATTAATCTCCATATTAGAGTAAATTGTGATAAGAAAATATATCTGGAGAATTTTGGATTTGAAAAGCTTAAGTAATATTTTGAAGAATAAAGTTTAAGTTTATTGAGTTCCCTGAAACATTGGGAAATAGATATATTTTAAATATATATAAATTATTTAGATATAAATAGATTTATTTTAAATTAACTTTATCCAAAAGAAAATCCTACTTTAATTATACCAGAAATTCTTGACAGATCTGCCAGATACAAATGGAATTTTCTACTGCTAAGTCTACAAAAATCCCTTTAAAGAATTATCTGAATCAGTTAAAAATATATCAGAGCATTGATATAAAAATCTTTGATCATTCCAAAACAATATCTGGGTCATATTCCTCTACTAGGAAATGTCTGAAAAACATTAATGCTATAGAGCCTGTGCATTTACAAAGTACTGGCGTTTAGAGCCCAAAAAGATAAACTATTAGATATAACATTTAGAAAATTGAATTTTGTGACATATATATGTTAATAACTGCCTAACATATAAAAATAATAACCAGGAGGTGAGGAAAATTCCATGTTTTATTGTTAATCACTATGATCACAAATTATTATGAAACAGAATAACACAAAATTTATGATGGTGGGTTAATCAAAAGAGATTTCCATTTCTGCAAATGTCACCTTTGATATAGCACTTTCAAATTTACTGTTTATGGGAGAAATGGCCTCCTCTTAACTTCATAAGTTGCTGTGATAATAAAATATTAGAATAGATATAAAAATACTTTGCAAAGTTAGAATTCCTAAAAATATAAACATGCTTATTTATTACACACATAGTGAGGCAGCTCAATTGTCATAAAGTAAAAAATAGCAGTAAGTAAAAAATAAGATAATAATTACAAGCTATAGGGAGAAAATATTTTAATGAGATTTTATTGAGGAAAGAAATAAATACCTTTTGTTTTAAACAAAGTCAAATGACATTTAATAAGAGGAAACCTCATTAATGGTTGTAAAGGAATCTAAGATAATAATGATCAACATAAATATTTATAATCATATTTTTCTCTGTCATGTTAGCTCTACACTGACATATTTTGAATGTCATTTTACAGGTTGCTCACCACTGAAAATGGGACATTCAAGTTGAGCTACTTCAGAGTCAGAAAGACACAGACTAATTAGAAGAACAGAAAAAATACTAAAATGCTATCTGGGGTATCGAGACTTCAGTTGAACTACTTTTATTGTAAGGATAGACTTAGAGAATGTAATTTGCCTGAAAAAGCTAGATTTAACACAGCTGACCTTCACATATTCTATAGACTGGAGCTTGGGAAGGGGGCAGGGCTAGGGAAAAGAAGTATAATTTTAGACAATAAAAATGAACTAAGGTGACAAAATGAATAGAGTTTTAGTCAAATTACTGAAAGAAAATTTCCTCATGGGAATAACTTCCTAAGGAAAGCATTAAAAATTACATACTTTAAGAAGTGTAAAGCCTGGTAAAAGTATAAAGGGTTCTGAGGCTAATTTTTCCAGGTTAAAGAATTTGACAGCTTCATTATATCTAATGAGTACAAAACTTATTCATATTAATCTATTTTCAAAGGTAATACTAACACTGAGTTAAGCAGCTGAAATATACTCATTTGAGTAAGACCTTTCACCTTCTGAGTCTTAGTTTCTTTATTTGTGAAATAAGGATAACAATAATAATATCAATCCCCAGGTTTCAGTATCAAAAAGATAATGTACAAACTTTAGAGTTTCCTAAATTTCAAAGTTACTATGAAAAGCCCAGCCACTTCATTCCTAACTACAATATAAAAATATATGTTGAGTATTAGCAAGACTCTATAATGTAAAGCTAAGAAATTGAGTTGGATAGCTACTATTTCAGCATTATTGGAAAGTTTGCTAATTTTTAACTTTAACCATTTTCTCTAACTCTTGATTTAGCACAAAGTACTAGTATGAGCTGTGTTCTTCTGACAATTATATTATATACAACTTTATAAAGTCTTTGAGGTTCCAATTATGTAATTTAAACAGTAACCTACTTGTAGGTGTTAGATGAAACTTAGGGGAGGAAGGCTTATCTTTTATGTTTGTGGTTTTGTGTGTGTGTGTGTGTGTGTTATATTTTTGCTTAATATTGTGAGACAACATAAATTTTTAGACTTACATTTCTTTTCACACATATTGCAATGTGTGCATGCCTATCAGCACCAATGGCCAAATCAATAGTTTTTGAAATGATCAATCTGCCATGAAAATTTGGGCAACATCTGCTTCAAGACATCTCTTTCTCCTTCAGATAGAAGTTGTAGTGTATAGAAGGAAACCTAGATTTAAAGTCTGAGGCCCTTGGATGGAATCCAAGCCATGAATATTTTAGTTTCTAGTTTCTCACTGAAAAATCAGAATGACACATACATTATGAAGCTGTTCTGAAGATTAGATATGCCATTTTTTCTAACATATTACCTTATTTATATGCTCAAAAACACACCAATACAGTTTTGGGTTTGGTTTTTCTCCCCAAGTCTACAATAAAATTAAGATATTCAAGTGTCCCTAAGTCTTTCTACTTTACAGATAAATTCCATATGGAACTGATTTTATTTTCCCAAACTAGGAATTTAAAAAAAAAAAAAAAACCTGTCTCAGTTTTTCTTTGTTTTTATTTTTAAAACCTCCATCAATCATTTCATTTATACTCTTTAAAAACTCATTTCTGTGTTTTATTATTATCTTATTTTTATTAAAAAAGGTTGTCCTCTGATACAAGAGTTATTGGACTCCAGTTCTGTAATTTCTCTGCATTTCTAAATATAACTGCCTATGTTATAAAATATAACATATAAACATAATAGTGTTCTATTATGTTTATAAACATAATAGTATTCTAAACATATAAACATAATAGTATTCTAATATAAATCATTCATCCCAGGTGCTGGTCATAGTATTAAATTACAAAACAAATTTCAACTGCATCACTTGGCCTCCTCTGGAATTCAAGAGTTTTAATTCACTTTAAATAAATAAATGGCCAGATATTTCTGTGTCCATTTTAAACTAACATGTTTTCTGAAATTTTTTCATTTGGTTATTTCATGTGTTTGAATATTAGAAAATCAATCTTTAGCTTTAAGGTTTTTTTTCCCTTCAATTTTCTAATGGTGACCATCTAAATACGTCAGTGAAAAACAATAAATACTGAATGGGAGTCAGGATATCCAGGCTCTTGTCCTAGGCTTGGCACTGACAACCTAGACCATATTTCTCTGAGACTCGACTTCTTTTTTATCAAATGAAAGGATAGGAGAAAATGACTTTTAAGGCCCCATACAATGATCATGAGAATTTTTTTCCAAAGTTCATACGCATATGGAATTATAAAAGAAAGACAGTAACAAAAAGCAGCTGTACGCATAAAAGTAAAATAAACTAAAGGGAAAAAAGATATACCTGCGATTTCTTCTAAAGTATTAGCATGCATGTCCAGCAACACAGTCCCATTCAGAATGCAACTTCTCAACTCAAACAAGCTGTGCAATGAAAGAGTAGCCACGTAAGGCTTGCTCCACCTTTCTCCTCCGTCTTCCACATCTTCTTCAAACTTCAACCATCTATACAAATAAACATTATTATCAGCACATTGCATATTATATTGTAGATGAATGATCCTTTATCCCAACAACAAAAGGTAGAAATAGAAAGTTATTCATTCATATTGCTTCTTGGTTTTATGGGTTTTGGAAATATTTAAAAACTAGCCCAAGGCATTTGATTTATTTCATTTTAGTTCCATTGAACTAGCATTCTTCCTGTAATTGAAAGATAATTGAAAACAAATACAAACTAATGTTATTTTTGTTAATTTGTCTAGCTCTAAAGAAACATTTTAGTAAAAATGTGTAACCAGTAGTCACAGTGAATCTTTTGTAGAACTAATAGAGTATACTTCTTCATGGAAAGTTAATGGTCGTTGAAACAGAAAATGAAAGAATATTCATTTTTCTTTAGTGGAAGTTCTAAAACCTGAATATTTTAGTCCTTTGGTAAAATATTAGGTTTTTAGGGAGGCTAATATAATTTGAGGACTCTTCTATGGGAAAAATCCTTATTAGGCTTGTATGGATGAAAGCTAGTGATAGCAGTCATTTCCTAGGCACTTAATATATGAAAATTGAGCTCAGATTCCATTTCCTAGGTGTGCATCCCAGGGATGGATAATAGGAGAAAAGCCTTGATATCATGATGTCAGATGAGAGACCATTGCCTTCTTGAAGTGAAACAAATGGTAATACCTGGGATTGTATGTAAGCAAGATAAATGGAAGGAGTAACAAGAAACCAGTGATTGTATTGCTCTGGCACAAGCCATTCGATCTTTTATCCTTTTAGATACTTGCTCTCTAATCTTAATAGATGACCAATTTAATTTCACCATTTCTAACTTAGTCTAAATTGCCTTCCCTCAATCTCATCCCTATCATTTCCCTCATTCCTTCTTTCCTTAGTCATTTTTGGCCCTACTTCTTCTTTCCAAGCAATATAACTCAAATTCTCTCTATGAGGTTATAGTACTGTTTTATGTAAATCAAATGACCAACTTGAACAAACAATAAATATGCTGGAGTAATTAGTTATGGATTTAGGTAAATTAGCCCCAAGTAACTAACTGAAAGAGCTAATCAGACTGATTAATGTGTAGAGTAGCAAGAGATCAATAAAGCTATGTATCTGTCTCTAGTGCTTAGGGAGCAAAAAAATTGTTAGAAAGTGAAAAGGAAACCAATAGGGAAGAATAGCTATGCCTGACAGAAGTTCACAGACAAGGAAGAATGGCTATGCCTATACAGAACACATGGAAATTGAAAAAACTTACATGTAAGCCCTAAATCGTTTATAGTATCTTTTCAAGGCTGGGACTTTTATAGAACATTTTTATTTACACAGTTAGGAATTTTTCATATTGGTGATTTCTAAAGATTTTCAGCCTTTAACAGGGCCATAATACCTCATAAATATATGATGGTCGTTAATATTGCTTATGAACTACAGCTGGTCCTCCCTCTCTTCCTAGTAAAGAGTTGGATATCACTACCTGGCTCCTTTTCATTGGTGAGTCCATGTGTCCGTGACTGGTTCTAGACAATGAGTTGGGAGCAGGAACTATGTGTGTGTCACTTGCAAACTGGAGCATTTAATTGTCAAGATGATAACCCATGGAGCTCTCTTTTTCCCTGCCATGGCAACCAGCAATGTTCAAGAAGGAGGCTGCTCTATCAGCTGCGGTCCCTCAGTAACTACCATGAAGAGATGAGGAGAGCCTCTATTGACCCATGATGGACATGGACCATGAGCCATAAATAAACCTTTGCAGTTTTAAGCCATTGAAATTGTAGGGTATTTTTTACAGCATAATTTAACCTATCTCAACTGATAAAGAACACCATTTTAGCTATTCATACCAACATAAAAATCCTAATTAGAATTAATGGTGAGAGCAAATATGATTTTATTAAATATTATAATTTAATAATATATTGTTTAATATATTATATTTAATAAATATATTGTATATTTCTTTCCAGATATAAGAGTAAGGCCATAGTCATATTATGAATGTCAATATAAAAAGGATCAAGCTCTTGGCAGACATTTTGAAATGGAGTAGTACTGTAGAAAGTACCTTGGACTAAATGAGAATAAAAAGAAATCTACTAATAGGTTTTGTTCATAATCTACAGCTGAACCACCATGTGATCAAGGAAAAGTCTTTTAACTTCTCTGGGCCATAGTTTTTTCATCTGTAAAATGATAAGGCAAATTCAACCCATTAAATAATTTCCTCAAGATCACCTGACCACCTTGTCAAACCAGGATTCAACTCGAGTTGTTTTTAATTTTGTTTTTCTCCAGAATCTGTGCCCATTTCCCACCATAATACAATTGCTTGAATTAAATTTAAGGTCTTTCTTAGCTCAAAGATCTTATGTTAATACCTATAATTGGAAAAAATGATTTAACATTTAATTTTTATCCTTGCTTGGAACCAATATCAAGTTGAAAAATGTTCTTTGCTCTCTCTCTCTCTTTTTACGTTATTCACATTTTTTTCCTTATTGTCTACCATACTAGATAAAAACAGTTGGTTTTTCTTTGTGAGTAAGACGCAAATATCCCATTGTGTGGAATGGGCTATCATGGAACTTTCCAAGGGGAACTTTCCACCAGGGGAGTGGGTACAACTTTTATCAAATCTTCTATCACCTTGTATCCTACTGACATATTATGTCATTTTCAGACAAAAAGATCAAAAGAAAGGGAGATTATAAAGCAGCTCTTATGCTAGTGTCATTTGGACTGAAGAACTATTTTAGATTTGAAATCCGCTGTCCAGTCACTGGATGGTAAAAAAGATTTAAGTTAATGAAAGGTTGTAATAATCTTTGGGGGAATACAGTTTTTTCTCTATGGGAAAATGTCCTCAATTAAGGTTTCTGGAACTATAGTATTTTCTGTCACACCTATTATATAAAATTGCTTCTAAAATACTATCTTTAAAAATTTTACTCAAGTATGAAATCCTGAAAAGTGTTTGTAGGTTACTAAAAAAATATTATTTCTTAATTACTTAAGTATAAATCTATAAACTTACCCATACATTAATATTGTTTTTAAGTTTTCATAACATTAACAAAAATTCATTTTTAAAATACATGGGCCTCCTGATCTGCATAAAATGATCAAATCCTTTCTTATAAGGAAATTTATGGTTAAATTTTACTTTTGGATAACAGTAAAGATGATTAAAGAAGTGAAGAAGCATCTACATCATTTTATCTTGACTCCTTTGAAAGTAAAAATGTAAATTTTAAGAAGCCCCATAAGATGTGGGGTGGGAGGGCACATATATGTGTGTGTATGTGTATAGTTCTATACATGTTTATCTCATGTATAGATTCATGTAAACAACATAATCAAGATACAGAGCTGTTGCATCATCACATAGGAAATTCCTTGTGCTACACCTTTACATTCTCAGTCCTCACTCTATTCCTGGCAACCACTAATCTATTTTTCATCCCTACAGTTTTGTCGTTTTGAGGATGTTATCTAAATGGAATCATACAGTTTGCAACCTTTTGAGATGGACATTTTTTTCCATTAAGCATAATGCCCTTGAGATCAATCCAAGTTGTTGTATGTATCAGTAGTTTGTTCCTTTTTATTGTTGAGTAATATTCCATTATATGGATAGATGTATCAGTTTGTTTAACAATTCATCCATTGGAGGTACATTCAAGTTGTTCATAGGTTTTGCTATTACAAATAAATCTGCCATGAATTCTCATGAAGAGGTTTTTGCATGAACATAAGTTTTCATTTCTCTGGGATAACTGCCCAAGAGGACAATTGCTGGGTCATATAGTAAATGAATGCTTAGTTTTATAAGAAACTTCCAAACCGTTTTCCATAGTGGCTCTATCATTTTATATTCAACAGTGTATGAGAGATCCAGTTTCTCCATATTCTCACCAGCATTTGTAATTATGACTATTTTTTATTTTTACTATTTCATTAGGTATGCAGTGATACCACACAGTAGTTCTAATTTGAATTTTCCTAATGACTAAAGATGTTGAACAGTTTCTTTTGTTGTTGTTGTTTTTGAGACAGGGTCTCTGTTGCCTGGGCTACAGTGCAGTGGTGTCATCATAGCTCTCTGCAACCTCAAACTCCTGGGCTGAAGCAAACCTCCTGTCTCAGCCTCTTAAGTAACTGGGACTACAGGTATGCACCAGCAGGCCTGGCTAATTTTTCTATTTTTTGTAGAGATCACGTCCCTCTATGTTGCTCAGGCTGCTCTAAAACTCCTGGCCCTCAGTGAACCTCCCACCTCAGCCTTCCAAAGTACTTGGATTACAGGTGTGAGCCACTGTGCCTGGCCCCTTCAACATCTTTTCATGTGCTATTTTTCATATGTATCATTTTTTTTGGTGAAATGTCTGTTTAGGTCTTTTGCCCATTTTTCTAATTGATTTGTTTATTTTTACATTGTTGACCTTGAGAGTTCATTATATATTATACAAATAACACTTCTGTTGAATATATGGCTTGCAAATATTTTCTCACTGTGTCTAGCAGTCTAGCTTGTCTTTTCATTCTTTTAACAGGATCTTTCACAGCACAAAAGTTTTAATTTGGGTAAAGCTCAATTTAAGAATATTTTCTTTTATGGATTGTGCTTTTGGTATTACGTCTAAAAACTTATTACCCTAGCCCTAGGTCCTGAAGATTTTCTCCTATGTTTCCTCTAAAACTTTTACAGCTTTATGTTTTACATTTAGATTTATGATCTATTTTGAATTAATTTTTTGTGTGCACTATAAGGTTTAGATCAAGTTTACTTTTTTTGCCAAAGATGTCTAATTGCTCCAGCATCATTTGTTGAAGAGATTTTGCTTCATCCAGTAATAGCTTTTGTCCTTTGTCAAAAATCATTAAGCCATATTTGTGTTGGTTTATTCCTTGGTTCTCTATTCTGTTCCAGTGATCTATGTGTCTATCTGAAATGACATTTTAAAAACAAATCAAAAGGTATATTCCTTCCTTTAGAA